ATGCTGAGCTGCGTCCATTGCTTGGGCCCAGGTAGCTTGAAGGTAATCCCCGTAGTTTTGTCGCGAGGGAAAGTCGCCTTCTTCAAAAGATGTTCGCCACTGTGAAAAATGGCGCGGCTGGTCGGGGTACAGGCCCATTGTATCGGTATGCATGTTCAATATCGTACCAATACAGGCATCGGAGTAGGCCAGACCCGGACCAAGGATTTTGTTCTTTTCCAGCACGGTAACTCTTCCAAACTGGCTGCCGCTTTTAGCCCTCTCAATTAATTGAAGGAGTACTGCAAGTCCGCTCGCACCACCTCCCACCACAACTATGTTGGGTGGGGAACCAGACGAAGAGGCAGGGCTTTGAGATAATATTTGAACCATTGTGAATGAAGTGGGCAAAGAAATTGTGATAGACTGTTCCTCAGGAAATGAGACTCGGGCATATCCACCATTTTTATATCTCAACCCTACTCAATTACGAAGGATGAAAAGAAAAAGAACACGGACGGAAGCCGCAATACGGAGTACCTTTTTTGGCTTATACAAATTCCGCAATGGAGCACTTGCAGGGCCAAGATGATGTGATCGTCTTGACAAGAGTTGAGAGAATTATAAATAGTCCACTCATTTATGCAGTCAGTCATCAATACTACCCTTCATGTGAGATCCCGTACGGGGAGTATGAGGATATGAGTAGCTTCAAGGAGGACGATTGGAAGACGAAAAAAGAAGCCTAAATTAATTGGTATTAAGCTTTTTCCACCAATAATGGGCAATAACTGGCACAAAAGAGTAGACCCGTTCTATAGGGCTTATGCAGGTTAGCGGGGGAAACGGAGTGGGGCCATACTATTTTCGTGATACTATTTGCAGCAGCCTAGATTCCCTTGTAACGACGAGTTTCTCTTACTCAATGCTGAACGCATGGAATTGTAAGTGGCAATCCATAATTTTCCGACAATAGATATTCTCCTCAGATCACAGGGCTTAGTGTCAAGGATAGCACGCAGTTGAGACAGCAGAAGAATTTCTTACCCAAATTGGATTCAAGGACCAGTACTTAGGATTGTTCTTATAAATATATACATGAATACAAATCCAGCCGTGTCCCTTTGCTTGACTGATACCTCTCTTCCAATATATTGCTACCCAATTGTCTATTGCTGTTGTTCGTTGTTGAGGATACTTGACAAAGACATTGCCAGACTTGCGTATCATTATGCCTACTCCTCTTGGTGAAACAGTCCTCCCGGAAAGGCTAGCCAGGAGTATGTATGATCAGCTTTCTGACAGAATTCGAAAATTCTCGAAACGTCTCTGTCTCGCGGGCGTCTTAGCTAGCGACGACGCTGGCTCGCACCAATACGCAGAATGGACCCGAGAAACCTGTCAAACTGTGTAAGTGATCTAAATTGAGGAATCCAAAATCAGAATTTTCTCCGACTTACTAATTCTTAGTGGCGTGGACTTTTGTCTCGTACGTTTGTCGCCTAGAAATGTGGCAACGTACATCAAGGCGCTCAACGCGAACCCCTGTATCCACGGCATCATCGTGTATTATCCGATATTTGGAGACTCGAGAGATGAGGCGCTGAAAAATATCGTCAATCATGCGAAGGACGTTGAAGCTCTCAACCGCGAGCCCTCACTCCAATTCCTCGAAGTCACAGAGGGTCCAGAGCAGGCCCGTTTGGCGCCCACACTAGTGCCATGCACGGCAAAGGCCGTCGAGTTTATTCTACATCATATTGGAATCTACGATCAGAGACTCCCCGCTACGCAACAACTAAGGGAGTGGGAGATCTGTATCATTAACCGATCTGATGTCGTGGGGCTTCCCCTTGCCCGTTTGCTAGCGGGCCAGGGAGCCCGTATCTACAGTGTCGACATCACAGGAGTTCAGCTCTTTCATCTAGATAGTGATCCATACAGAGTGGATAAGGTGCAAAGTGTGGCCACCCAATGGACGCTGCAAGACGCCGTGAGAATGTCTGGCGTGATCATCTCGGGGGTCCCACACTCTACGTTTAAGGTGGACACGAAATGGCTTCGACGCGGGGTAATATGCGTCAACCTTTCTTCATGCAAGGTATGCAAGGCTCATGAAACACTCCTTAATATGTGGTCTGAAGATCCTAATCAATGGTGCAGAATTTTAAGCCAGACGTCCTTGAAATTGCCTCCAAATTCGTGCCGCGTGTTGGAAACCTGACTATTGCTGCTTTGCTAAATAATCTCCTTGATTGTGTAAATTGATATTGAAGCAAGACAATATAGTGCGTACTTGCTATAAACCGATGCGCTGGAATGGTTTATTATCATGACTTATCACGTACTATCGGAACTCCGACGGCTTCATTTAATACCAAGTAGATCAAATCTTCGCCTTCATAGTCGTCCCGGTTTTCAACAACCGAGCGGTCACGAGGATCACAGCACCTAGAAGAAACGACAATCCACCCCAAATCTGGGCACCGATGTAACCATGCGCCCTTGCAATAAGAGCCCCGCCAAGAGGTGGACCCGTCAAGCAGGCGAAGCTGACAACGGTGAATCCCATGCCGATGCGGGTCCCGGTCTTGTTTAGATCAGGTGTCAGGCTGGAGAGTGTCGATGGCCAGAGGCCTTGCACACCATTGGAAAATATACCATATAAGACAGCAAAAACATAGAGCCCTGCGGTTGAGTCCACTGCAGCCCAACAAAACATCATCAGACTAGCTCCAATACTTAGAGGGATAATGACATTTAGAGGCCCAAAATAGCGATCCGCTAGGTAAGCAGGGATTAGCCGACCGAGAATCCCTGCACCGTTGGTCACGATGATCAGTGTGGTTGAGTCGGAGTAGGTCAAGCCTAGAACGGTGCGACCAAAGGCCCCGACATAGTAGAAGGCGAAATAAAGCCCCCAGAAGTTTAAGAACATGCCGAGGATAAACAGAACATAGGTAGGTTCCTTAAAAGAGACCCAATCGACCAATGGACCCGATCTTCGCGGGGGCAGTCGCGGCTGGAGTAGCAGCGTGGTAGGTAAACTTGTCGCTACCATCACAAAACCTAGCACTCGTACCGTCCACCCAAATCCAATCATAGGCATAAGAGTCCTCACTAAACCCGGGAAAAGCATGCCACCGCTCCCGCTCCCGACGAGACCAAATGCCAAGGCAAATACTCTGCGACTAGAGAAGTACGTGGCCACAAGGCCCATCACGGGGCAAAATTGAAGACCACTACCAAGGCCAGTGCAGACCCCTTGAGCGAGAAAAAGCTGCCAATACTGGGTGGCGAGGGAAGTCATAAAGACCCCGAGCAACTGTAAGACTACCCCGACGTAGTACACTTGGTAGAAGAAACCGGCGTCCAAGGCACGGCCGGAGAAAGTCCCGACGAAGAAAATGAGAAAAACTTGCACAGATCCCACCCACGAGATGGACGATGGGGAAACGCCGAGTTCAGATTGGTAGTATGCTTGGAATACGCCAAAGCTGGCGATATAGCCCCAAGTATTGAACGCTACCAGATGGCCCATCACGGCCTGCGTCCAGGCTTTCACGCCCCCATCTGGCGGTGGAGGGACCACCGGCGACAGTGATAGACTCTCTAGCATTCTTGATTCCGTATTATTTCCGTTCATCGGGAATGCCAAGAACGCTGGGATAGTGTCAAAGTTGACGCAGATTGATCGAGGGAAAAGGGGCATAAAAGAAAATAAGGAATGGTCTGCACGCTGCATTGGCGGGTGCTCATTTGTTAGGCTGGTATGTTTGTTAAGTGCATTAGGCAGCACACTTGGGCCTTGGCAGAGGGTCTCGACACAATCCCGGGCTCCCTCCAGGGCTTGACTTATCGCTTACAATCGTTCTGAGAGATCATCTCCAACTCTACTCTTTTGTACGAATTGGATTCAATCAAAGCAATGATACGGAGTAGTTCCGAGTCGGATTGAAGCCCCGCCTCATTCTGCATACCCGGGCATCCCTTAGTTATTTCCATCAATACTAAGCAACGGCTGATCGTCACGCTGAATGGGGGCAGTTGCAGGATTTGAAACCTTGAGAGAAAGTACCTAGGTACTTTTGTAAGACCCCGACCAATCAGGAACCTCACTCATCCCTTGACTAATGACCCTTGATCGCTTCCAAGGTTTTTCTCCGGTGGGACTCTGCGCGGGTGGGAACTAGAAAAATGCTGGGGCATAGGGCTGGAGACCCCTCAGCTTTTTTCTAGTTCCCCTCAGCTAGAACCCGTCCTACGGAGCGTTATAGAGGCCAGGTTTCAAACCTCCTTTTACTGGGAGACTTGTTGGAATAAAGCGTATTGCAACCAAGGGCCCAATCAGTGGAGTTCAACTCTCTGTATTTCTGTATCGGCTCCGCTGGCAATTTAACTAGTTAACGTATTTCACAAGCGAGCCGCCACCTAGACCGCGACATCGCCCGTCCACGGTGGGCGGTGGGCTATTTGGATTTTCGAGTGCCCGTCCATAACGCCCACCGCATGCCCATCGCGGGCATGCCCACTACGCCCACCATTATATAAAGTTGTCTTAAATATATATAAAAATTAGATATATAGTAAATTATACTATATATATTTATATATATCTTATTAGAAATCCGGAATTATGATTGTAAATATGTAAAAAATACAAATTTAGTTAAAATATTTTGAAATCTGCCAATAGAAATCACGTGTTACGCTAATTTTGCTTACTAAAAAGGCCCACGGGCGCCCACGGTGTCCATGGACAATGGGCCCTACCCTTAGGGCCCGTCCATGGGCGTATCCATAGTGCCCATCGCCCGCTTACATAAGGCCCGTGGGCAATGCCCACCCGCCCGTCCATGGGCGATGTCGCAGTCTAACTGTAAGATAGCTGTTCCTTTCTCCTCTTTTCCTCCGAGTCAGTCAAATCAGTTAGTACAATATAACGTATTACTGTCTATCTTCAAAGCTTCCTCTCCAAGAAAAAGAGGTTCTAATATGTGCCTGTATTCGGCTAATAGAATCTAAGTTCTGATGAGATGAAGTTCCTTCATGCTCATTGACTGTTTCTCCGCTCTTTTAAGATAGTCCTGTTTCATCATATATCCAAGCAAAGGAGTATAATCAAAGAGCCAGTCACGAACTTTAGCGATTGGCCAAGGCAGCGAGTGAAATAATTTGCCACTGAAGCGTGCGACTTCCATGTTGTGATTGACATATTCAACCCGCTGTTTCTCGTACAACTCAAAGCCGACAGTGACTGCGGCAAGGTTGCGTAGGTCGACACCATCAAGGAACTTAGCAAGAAAGTAGCCATCCTTGATAGCCATACCTAAGCCATAGCCAGCGTAAGGTGATACCGGGTGTACGGCATCACCAACACATACAACGCGTCTAGTGGACCATTTCTTCACCGATGCACGGTTATAAATTTCCCATTGATAGACTCGTGTATCGAAGTCCGTAATCTCTAAGAAGCGAGGCATCGGCCCTGACCAATCCTCAAGAACACCCGATAAGTATGCCTTCGGATCTTCTGGTACCGGTTTGCCCTCCCAAGATGGCTCCACAACCCACCACTCGAAGCAGGGCTTGCCTTCGTGCAGTAAAGGAAAGTAGCTAGCTTGATATTGCCAGTCGTGGGATATAACAGCGTAGTTCTCGGGAATATCTGGAATTTGATCGCACCAAGCAAGCCAGACGCGGATTCCGGCGTGAAAAAGGTTCAGGTCGCCAAAGGCTTGTCGTGAAACAGCTGAGTGAATGCCGTCAGCTCCAATGAGAATGTCTGCTGTAATTTTGTGCCCATCCTTGAATTCGAGCTCAATACCGTCCTCGCCTGGGAGGTCGGTGTAGGCGATAAGTTCGTGACGGGTGTGTACAACACCCAGCGGGAGAAGGTCGAGCATTTTCTTCATGAGAGATGAGCGAAGGACACCGTATTGCCAGCCCTTAATTCCCATACGCCTCTCGATTTCCTCGTTGAAGGGGAGTTCAACTCGCTCTACTCCATACTTATTTTGAAGGGAAGTAGTGGTGTATGAGCCCAGGTTCTCAATGCTCAATCCATACGATCGCAGGACTGCCATGACGGGAATATTGAGCAGTACCGCGCCGCCGATGGGCTTGCACTCGGATTGCCGCTCAAATATACGGACATCAAAACCCCGTTGGATGAAGGCAAGAGCTGTTGACACGCCTCCAGGCCCACCCCCGGTGATAGCAACCCTTTACCAGGGCGCCAATTTTGATGCGACATGTTCGCATATAAAGAGGAAAATGAGGGCGAATCGAAATATATACACCACAAGGAAGATATGAAAGGGAGCCGAGTGTGGATGGAAATAAAAAATAACGAAGGTTATTTACGAGAACTCTACGAAAGGAAGAGACAGCGAGTTTTAAATGTACTCTACAAAAGTGTGGTCTTGCTTGTCTGGGAAGTTGGTGAGTTGATATTTGACTAAGCGGAAACGGCCACCTGGCGGATCTAAGTGTCTTGGGAGGTTATGTGATCTCCCGGCTTGCTCGCAGCTCTAGTAATCCTTGATACTATAGGTAGCTTCTTTTCCTCACCAAATATTCAGAGATTTTGCAGAGCAGTTTATCTTCATAGTAGTTCTTCTATTTCACTCAAAGATGCTCATTCCATATGTAAAGCCCGCAGACTCTAATATCGGGGCCACCAGCTTATCGGACGTAATGACTAAGCGCTATGCTCCACCTGGGCATCTATTCGATCCTTGTTATGGAGTTCATTCCTAGGTTAACGTGGATCCCGGTTACTCCGGCCACCCGGTCACAGCCACTTTCTCGGAACTTTCAAAAAATCAAAATTTAACATAAATTGATGTCAGCCGGAACGACCCTATCCTGTACTAGACCCTGCCATGACCTACAAAGACTCGGAACCGGACCTACTCGCAAACAGCATTCTGCGGGTTGCTAGCCCCTATCTTAGATTCGGCGGGTGATCTTAGGTGGGTGTAGACTTCTGCAGAACCCACCCAAAATGGGTTCTGCCAAAGTCTAAGTTTGAAGTTAAGAGGATCGTATGTCGAAACAGTCTGGGCAGTTCAAGACGGTGTAGCTTGGTGTGATATGTACTTTGTAAAAAGGGGCCATGTGTGATAACCCATACATCATTATACCGGTAATGCCTAGGGTCTGAGGTTTTCAAAACTTTACAATATCGTGGGATACTCTGTGTTCCTGTTCCAAAACAAACACAACCCACGGATGCCAATAATAGCTAGGAACAACCTTGTCCACCTCCCGGTCTGAGCCATATGCAAATCCCCGAAAACCACTCATCGGCAGGATCTATGGATATATTTGTTCCGCTTACAAGTAAGCTTCCCAACCCCAAATCGGTATCAAACCCGCGGTGTGGGTCAGTTTCCAAAATCCGGTCATATTACACTCAATATACGAAATCCTTCATCTCTAAGACTATCTACATGTAGCTATTGTAGAGAATCTAGTCTGTTGAAGGGTCTTGCTTATTTTGCGTTTTAATGCCCACTCCTCGCCACTTTACTACCGATTCTAAACTGACCGCTGATACTTACTTCTAAAAGCAGCGGCCCAAGCGGTAAGAAAACCCACGTGGTATAGTCAGGTCTTGGGAATCGGTTGGTGGATACTCAAGGTCCGACTTGATCGACACCTCAGTGAGACATTATTATGCGAAAGGACCTGCAGTATTTTGGACATCTTTCGGACTCGGGCCGGAATTCGATCAGGAGGTAGCCAAGAACGAACGGTACACATAGACAACCTTCTAACCTGAACAAAGTATAAACCCTTCATCCTTTTGAACGAAGTCTCGATAAATCAAGACCTGGGAGATTCTGTTTTAGTGAAGCGGCTTGCGAAGGGGCATAAATGGCCAAAAGTCGCATGCGTGAATTTCAAGGTATAACTATATCCTACGTACTTATCTAATTATTATACAACTATAAGGCTATCTGACTATATTTCAGATTCTAACTTAACCTTCGCTATCGCTTCTACTATCGCTATAGTTATAGGTGGTAAACTCTTGGCCGATTCCTAAGATCCACTAACGAAAAAGCTTCTTTCTAGGGCCCTTTATTATCGCCTCAGCGAGATAAAACTTATCTATTATTAATGGGATAAAATCGTTAGTCCTAGGTAACCTAGATAGAAGCTTATTATCCCTTATAATCTGATCACAGAAAGAAGAACCGTTGATGGATTTGCTGACGAAGACCGACCCGACCCGTGGGCGTGGTATGGCGAGGTCTACCCACAATGTTGCGGTCCCATCCTGGCCCTCAATCAGTACGGGTTCGTAAACAGTACACAAATATTATCAGAATGGAATTAGAACCCCTTTTTCGCTTTAAAGACCCCGGAGGACTAGAAAGGTGCAATTTTACATAGAGTATTGTAGCCACCTTCTTTCCCTTGCACGGCTCCTCCCGGCACATTCGCAATAATAGGAAATAAGCCTTGTATTCCTTTCATATTTTTGTGCGTGTCTCGTTTCAAAAACGAGCCAATTCTTCTTATACTTCCAGCCCTGGCGATAATTCGGCAGCCTAGGAACTTCGTGAATACTAGCGGCAGCTTTAAGACATTTACCTCCAGGAAGTGTGCCTGCGCTCTGTTTTCTTCAGCAATCTCTCCATTCAAGTAACAGCTCTTAAGATATTTAAAATTAAGTAGAAAAAGCACAAACTCAAATAGATTGCAATGTCTTGGTTCAATAAACCGAAAGGGGTATTGAGATTGCCAGTAGCACACTCGAGCTAAGAAGCGTGGAAAGAAATTTCCCGCCAATGGATTGAAAGAAAGAAAAGATAAATATATAAGACTTCATTCCGATCTACTAAAAAGCATCCAGTATCTTCATCGCCAGTTTTTATTCAACTCAAAGTATTTCGTCTCCGTCGATATGTTAATATTGACACGCAGTGTTGTTCTGGGATTGCTAGGCTCAAGGTCTTTGGCCCTCGCCTCTCCCGCTGCCGAACTGGCTGAAGGGGACAGACTCTCCCCTCGCGGATCTGCGTGCAGTTATTCAGGAGTCAATGGTGCTGCAGCAGCGATAGCTGGAAAGGCAGGTTGCGTCAGTATTACTCTCAATAATGTTGTGGTGCCTGCCGGGACTACGCTGGATTTGACTGGTCTGGCCACAGGGACCAAGGTAAAAACTCTCCACAAACCCGTGACTCTCTTGCTCCACTGACAGCGAATTTACTGAAATTTTTGTAGGTGATATTTGAGGGAACTACTACTTTCGGCCATAAGCAGTGGGCAGGCCCTCTGATATCGATCTCTGGGACCGACATCGAAGTTTCTGGGGCTTCCGGTCACGTCATCGATGGCCAAGGTTCCCGCTGGTGGGATGGAGAGGGTTCCAACAGCAAGACCAATCTTAAACCTAAGTTCTTCTTCGCCCACAATCTCAAGGGTGCCTCCACTATAACCGGATTGAACATCAAGGATTCTCCCGTTCAGGTCTTCAGCATCTCTGGCTCGTCGGGTCTGACAATCAGTGGTGCCACAATTGACAACAGAAATGGCGATAAGGATTCTCTCGGTCACAATACCGACGGGTTCGATATAGGAGACAGTGATCACATTACCATCACTGGTGCTACAGTTTGGAACCAAGACGACTGCCTTGCTATCAATTCTGGGACGGTAGGTGCTCGAAGATTGTCGCCCTGCCTAGCTGCAGGGAATGATTACCACGGTTCTTGCTGACCATCAATACCCAGAACATTATTTTTTCCGGGGGTTACTGCTCTGGTGGGCACGGATTATCTATCGGCTCAGTTGGTGGCCGTTCCAATAATGTGGTAGACACCGTCCATATCAGTAGCACCCAGGTCATCAACTCTCAGAATGGTAAGCCCAAGCCGGATAATGGCTATAAGTTTTTCCGTTTCTTGAACTGATATTTCTGTCAGGTGTCCGTGTCAAAGCTGTCGCTGGCGCCACCGGTAGTATCAAAGGCGTGACTTTCCAGGATATTACCCTCTCCGGCATTACGAGCCAGGGAGTCACCATCCGCCAAGACTACACCAATTCTGGCTACACTGGAAATCCCACGACCCAGGTTCCAATCACTGGTCTCACCTTGAATAATGTGCACGGCACAGTCACATCCAGTGGCACCGATATCACCATCGAGTGTGGAAGTTCTGCCAGTTGTTCAGGCTGGGCTTGGACTAAAGTTGCAGTGAGTGGCGGCAAGGCGGATTTGTGCAAGAATGCACCTGCCAACACTTGCTAAGCCTTCAATTTTTGCTACTTTGGTGCCGACATGTTTCTGCGCTGTTCGTCCGTTGTCTTTGTATCGGCGAATATCTACAACATGGTGGTAGAGACTTTTTTGTATTCATAAAGAAAGGCATTGCGAGAAAGAATCGACTTGAATAGCTAGGCAACAAAGGTCTTTGTACCCATTCGGAGCCCGGTTCTGCTTTTCTAAATTTCTCCTCCGATATTGACATTAGGTCGGGTTTTCTGCCGGAATCGCTATACATTTTTTTCAAGTCTTTCTTTTTCAGGTCATCTCTCCTCGTAACCCTTCAGCATTTGTTCTTTGGGTATGAGGTTATACATCGACCTCAATCTCTTGGCGACTTATTTCGTACGAATTCCAATGGTAGGTGATATTCTGTCTCTTCCCGTTTGGGTGCACATTGATAGAGCCTCGACAATTCTATCCATACTGCCTCACGACGTATCAAAACCAGCCCGTCTATATTAATCGCCAAAAATTGTTAATTTGACTCTAGTAATAAACATATTAATACTGGAAACACCAAAATCAATTCTAGGAGCTGTTTATGCCCTGGGAACTCCTCTCTAGCTCTTGGGGCCATTCCTGTTTCTAGGAATCTGAGATCCACCCCTGGGATCTTCACTCTACGATCCTGGCTGGTTAAGAACTGGCTCTGGGAATACAATGGCTAGATCTGGGAGATACTACGCTCCTGGGTCCCTAACTTTGGATCCTGGGCTCATTATTCTGCTTTCTGAGGTGGCGGAAAGCCCTCACAAGATAACTTTACCAGACCTGCGCACAGATATGAGTCATTCAACGACTCCTGGAAAGGCAAATTATAGCCCCAAGAACCGTACTGGAGGTTCCAGGATTTGATAAGACTGTCAACGGGAACATGACGTTGGAAGTACAAGACCCCATAAGCTACTTTGAGCTTCCTGGGTGGGGCTACTTGCTGATTCTAAGAAGTTGAAGCGGTTAGAGACAAAACAAGCCAAGGGTTTGGAAGTTGAATGTCAAGCTCAGTTAGCAAGGGATTTAGCTGAAGCTGGATACGAAGCTTCAATGGTGGCAAGAGATAGTGGAACCGGAAATTGCTATCCGATGTAAATTTGCTATCCGGTGCAGCCCACCAATACTAGGTAGGTGTTGGTGGGCTTGGCACGGTTACCATACAAAAGTACATATTACAGTTAGTCATCTATGTCCGCACAGATTGTTGAAAACGCGAGTTTTGTCATTTTACTTAGAGATTCCAATATATCTGTTTTGACCATACGTTGTCATACCGACAGATTTCTGTCAGGTTCCTCAAACCAGGGATGAACTCTTTACATAAAGAACTAGCCTGTTCGTACCCTGCTCTGACACCACAGTAGGCATCAGCTCACGATCTGTCCCGGCATTATGTCGTTTCCTGATCAACATTTTCCCAGCTGTAAAGCTGGTGAGTCTGCCACGACAGTCTTGATAATTCACAGACAGTTGAGTACCAAACAACCAGAGAATACATCGCCGGACAATGTCATGAAGACCTTTGCCACAACAATCATTACCGTGCTCGCTTGTCGTTGCTGCTGAAGGAGTCTACGCGCTTCCAAGCACTGGTACCACACTACTGAAGAACGAGGCAAGCAAACAGCATATTGTTATTGGGTCTTGAGCGATCAATCCGATGTATCTCAATGATCCGGAGTTTGCAACTGCTCTTACCAATCAATTCAACAGCCTCTTTCCCGAAAATGAGATGAAATGGTCGTTCATCAACCCGACCACCTCGTAAAATTCGCAGAAGACAACAATATAGTGGCCTAGAGGCACAGGCTTATCTCGAGCTGCTATAACCCCGACTTCCGGCTACATTGCAGATAACTTACATATCGCCCGAGTAGCAGCCCCAGACGCCAAGCTATTCATCAACGAAAATCATGTCGAGTCATTTCCTAGCAAGCGCAAGAAGCTCTATAACCTAGTCTCTAGATTTGTAGAAATGGATATCCCAATTGATAAAATCGCTTTGCAGATATATATCATTGAAATAGCTCCGAAAGCGGGCGCAATAACGGAGATCGCAACTCCTACGAGGCGCTCGGATTGGAGGTAGCAATCGCTAAGCTAGATGATCACACGCTCGACAACGCGGTCGAGCCTGATATCTACGGCGCCGTCTCCAGCGAGGCTCTTAACGCAGGAATCACCAATATTAACTTCTGAGGCTTTACGGATAAGCACGCTTACACCGTAGTGCAGGGCCCAAAGCCATTGATATTCGACCAGTGCTACAAACCCAAGAGTGAGTTTTACGCCACTCACGCTGCTCTCACCAATTTCGTCAACCGTTCCTAAGGAGCTTGAGCACCACCTAGCCGCCAGAGATTGCGCTTTACAAACCTGTAGTCACAACCCTGCGAGATTAACCGTAAACATATTTGAAAAAAAAGACCTTCTCGACGAAAAAAAGGTCAGGATCTTACTAACACATCCAAGGAATTCTCAACATTCCTGGATGCCTGATTTACACGATGTTCATAAGGATGTTGGATTTTCCGCACCTTACAGCCTTATTACATTAAGCCCGACTCTCCTATATCTTGTGTTCTATATAGTATTCCATGATTCACACTTAAGTATCCAATTGGGCTAAGCCCATACTACTTTGTATTGTATTGACCCTATTCCGACAGTTATGAGCCCAGTTTTTTAGCCCAGAGTAATGGCTATACCCCCCCCCGGCAGGTACAACTGGACACTCCGCCCGACCCTCCAAGGTCAATTAATCAATCAACCAAGTTTCTGTTAAACCTTTGGAGCCTAGGTTAAATCACAATGGATATTCAGGTGCTTTTTTACTAAATGAAACAAGAGCCCGTAATCCGTGCCTTTGGTCATACTCACATCGTACAGAATCACAGGCTGATGTGCAACGAGAGCATCAAGATTTCAAAGGTCAATACAATATAGCAAATACAAATGCCCATATGTCTAAGCAATGACCCTCAGTACAAATGGAATGCGGATAATGTCTGGCATACGCCATCTACCTCTCTGTCTCTCTCTTCCTTTCTCTTCCAGATACCCTCCTCACTTCTCATTATAATGAGGTCAAGACTCGGTTACAAGGCCGGCTTCAACTTCAATTGTGGCTCGCTTTCTTCCCAAGAACCTTCCCACAAGCAATAGCTGCTTAGTTCTAGTATATATCGTACCAGTAATAAACGTCGGTCTGCAAAGAAAGCAACTCCGATATATTAGAAAAATACGATGCCAAAAACGTATTTGGCGGCCCTTGCAGACTCTACATACGGCGATTATCATGGTCTCGAGACCACCACTATAATCCTACAATCGATTGTTAGGGAGAGTTTCAGTTAGAGAACTTAAAGGCAGATTAGGATACTCACTCGGGTCTTCTATAACCTATAAAAATCTAGGAGTTATTAGATATCGTTATAGGTGGTAACATAAGGTAGAACGCTCTAATCTAACTATTTAAATTTCGCCCTAAGCCCTTAGTACCGTTCTAGATAATAGCTTTAACTATAAATTACTTACGCCGTACCTAGATTCCGATCTTAATATTTAGAGGATACGTAGATCGTAGGGTTATATATCGTCTAGCTAAGTTTTATAAAAATCGAACGAAAGCTACGGAGTGAACCCAATCTTATTATCTCGTATAAATAGAAGAGTGTCTATATTTGCGGGAACCAACCAGATCTCCTAAAAACCGGGAAGTAATGCATTGAAACCAGCACTCAGGCTCGGTCGTCTATCCCCCCATAGGATAGAAGCGGCCCAAAATTGACCCAGGATTACAGATTACAAGCAGCTGAGGGAGAAGGGGGTCTGCATAGTAGATATTGTAGTAAACCTTGAATGATGAATTGAAAACTGATAATACCACTGAACCAATCGACTTAACCTTGCCCAAAGCTAGAAGCCGAAGATCAATCTAGCCGGCGTCTGCAATCAAAAATCCGCCTGAGGCACTATATTGATGAACTCCGGGTACAGATAGAAGAACTCAGGGCTCATTTTCCAATTTAATAAATCTGCAGCATGTTGAACAAAGAGATCGCTTGGGATGTACCCGGAGTCACCATCGGAACAATAACTCTCCTCGAATGAGTACGGCCAATGGAAGCGAAAGCATTGCTGTACGGCCGAAAGAAAGGTGCAGGTCTCCAAATATACGCGATAATGGGTGATCAGGCGATCACGAACACTTGGCCAAGGGAAAAAGTCAATAGCACATGCATGTGGCTCTTCTAATTGCTTCTCTGTTGGAAGTTCCCACGGCGGTATCTCCAACCGCGTCTCTGGGCCCGGATGAAAGATGTATCGCATTAGCTGATAGCTTTTGTATGCAATGGCAATCCTGAAGATCTTTGGCATTGGTGACCAAATGTACTCATCCATGCGTTGGAGAATACATAAACCTGGGTTTATTCTTTCTTCCGGCGATAAACTCCCCCACCCTTTATCAACGGCCTGAAACAGGAGCCCCATGTTATCAATCTTGGGAAACATTTTAGCAGCATGACAAGGGTAAGCTTGACTGAGTAACTTATTCACAGTGTACCAAGCAGAACATGAGCTTCGGTATGACAAGGCCGCCTGGGGGGTTTCATTCGGGTCTCGGTTGTGTGATGCAGTGGCAGGCATTGGCAAAAGATAAAGCGCACTGCGCAATTGGACTTGTCGGTGAAAACACGGATGTTGTATATGTGCATTCTCTTGTAGCCCTTCACAATGTTCCATAGGAGAACAAGCTACGTGCACGCGTGAGGCTTCTGTAAGCCCTGAGATCGAGTAAGATCGTTCACAAGAGGGTGTCATTGCATCCGTCCCATAATCATTCAGAGGTGGGTCCCGGGAAAGAAACGCTGGGGTCACGACATGTTCCGCCGTTGGTATCTTGGTGTGGCCCGCCTCTTCCGAAAGGACTGAAAAGGCACTTTGGATAAGCTTCTTCAGACGGGTGATCTCTGCTTCAAGTTCTTCATTCTTTTCTAGTAACCTGAGAATTGTATCTTCTGAAGCCCGATTTTGGAGGGATTGGATTGTCTCCTCCAAGTGCATTATCCGGGCCTTTGTCTTTTGCCGGCTTGTGCGCTGGGCAGCTCGATCCCACGCGCGTTTCTTCTCTCTGCGTATTTCAACGCCCATTGAATTGATTTTACTCATTGGTCAATGATGTGTTGGAAGTATGAGATACAGTCCGGGGATGACATTCAAGACTGGGGGATTGTGTTAACCGCCAAGGCTGAGGAGACCGCCACGGATAGGACGGCATATTGGCTCCACCGTCGCATTACACTCGGACAAGTCCGATCGCCTGGTTAAAACAACGTATTCTATGATGATGGCATTACTGAAGGGGGTATGGTCTTATTTTTAAACTGACGTGATGATTAGCTGGGCTGCAATATGGAACAAAATCACATATTTTTTAACCACGCGTAGGATATAATTCGAAGATATATATCAGGGAAGCCACCTAGATTATCCATCCTCAATATTCTTTTCACCAGAAAGCTATCTTTAGGATTATGTGTTAGGATAGAGATCTTTGATTCAAATGATGAATTCTCCAAAAGGCCATACCGTACACAGTTTCAATGGGCGACATTCTATGAATCAAGTCTTTCTCGGTGCTAACACAAAACCAACAGCACGGAGATCATACCCCACATACTCAGACAACGACTTCCACCGTAAGATCCTCCGGCCACCTGGGTTGGTCAACACCATTAGTCCGAGTTCCCACATTATATTTAAGCTGAACAGGGCCCTGGGGGAATTGAAGCACGGGCTTGGGAACCCTGACCGGAACACCCAATTGAGGACTTTGAAGGTCCTGGAAGTTACGCGGGTGAAACACGCGGTCACCGCTATTTTTCTTCAGCAATTCCACGTGTGCTGGGATCGTTTCAAACATGGTGTGGTAGTGACGGAAAATAGGGCGGCCATTGTCCGACCAAAGCTTCTGCCACACATTCTCGGGATAGGTTCCGACAGAGCGGACTAGCCATTGAGAGTAGTAATTAAGGGCAATATCAACGGTATACGATCCACCGTCAGTCGCACGTCGCATAAGAGCATCCAGAACTCCAGCAGAGCCACAGACACCTGTGCAGTAATCCGAGTTGGGGAAAACGGGTATAACCGGCTCATCAAGACCCATCCCGCGGCCATATTCCATCGCGACGCCACAGTTGGCATCACTGATTTGCTGCCATCCACTGCGCTTCGCCCATGGGCCATACCACCCATAGCTGTTTTCGCGAGCATAGATGATACCACGCCCGCGGTCACTACCAATTTTCAGAATGTCTTTTTCGGAAAATCCATACTTATCAAGTACGCCTGGGCGATAGCCTGTTACAACAACATCGGCATCCTCAATCAAAGCTTTCAGACTATCTCGGTCCCGTGCCAATCGTAGGTCCAGTAAGCTGTTCCACTTTCCCCAGTTCATATCACAGTGCACAAAGGAAAAGTCGCACAGATGAGGTGCAGCAACTCTCATAACGCTGGCGCCCATCTCGGCGAGACCCCGACTTATGGCTGGGCCGGCAATGACTCGAGTTAAGTCGACGACTTTCAGTCCCGCCAAAGGTCTGCTAGCACTGGTTTCTGGGGAAGATGGCCACCAGCAAGGTTCTTGCTTCGGATTTCCGTGATGATGAATCTCGTATAACCCAACTTTTCCATTTTCTTGCCCATGTTCGCTGGCAAAATACTCCTCGGGAGTCCAGCAGATAGTTCCAGCTTGTTTATGGACCTCTGAGGCGAGATGCTCGAGGTCAGCGGAGTCGAATTCCTCCACGCGCTCCTGATAAAACTTAACAACGTCCTCACGGGGACTATGATCGAGTTCTGGCATCCAAGCTGGAAGGCCCACACTCGCGAGGGTTGGCTCGGGGTTCATACTTCCTGTGGTGATAGATTCGTTAGCTTGGGTGGTAAATGCCAACAGATAGAAATATATGATACCGTGCAAATGGAAGTAACGGTCATCCTTCGTCTTATACACATTAGTGCAGAGAGATCGATAGATAGTGGCTTGTGCCTTGTTGGTGTCCCAACTAGGGAAATAGTTCAAGAAGCGTCCGCCGTCGCGAGCGAGGGTGAATGAAGATTCGATAGGTTCACCCTCAGGATCAAGCGTCCAGATCATTGCGGACATGACAAAGAGCTGACTATGATCACTGTGTATAAAATTAGTTGGACATTCATGCTTTGGGTGCACAGAACCAAAGAATTTGCAAGAAAGGTAGAGAGAGGGAGGTGGATTGTTTCTGGTGACGTACGTATCAATCACAATCTCCGGTGCCTTTACTCCATATTTGCGTTGTAAGAGAACACTCAGTAATGCTCCTTCAAATGCTTTCAGGCTAGCAATGCTCTCTGCGAACCTCCAGTTGATCGCAATGCTGGGATCATGCGACCCAACAAACTTGATGGTAGCTGCGGCGTCGTGAATTTCGGCAGGCAGGCCTTTCATCAGCGAATTCTGAAGGATTCCGTCCAGAAATACCTTTTGAGCCTCTGCTGGCACAGAGTACGCTTCATTGCGCTGAGCATCAAGTATAGTGGCCATGGCGGGCGATGGTTGAGTTTGACTCGAAATTCGGACCTAACGATCTGAGTTTGATCTTTCCGTGATGCAGGACTCGGTCCATTTAATTATATATTTGAACTTTACATCATGCTACTTGTGCTGTCTCCGGACTATGAGTCGTACCCACTCGAGTCAGTGTTCTACCTAGGTATACTCTAGCAAGAGTTCGGGATCTCGGCACAGGGTGCGCCATGAACGACGGACCAATACAAATTGTCTAACCTTGTTTAGTGGAGAATATCAACCCCACTCTGACTCGCATAAAGTCGAGTCAGACTGGGGCATGTTGTGAAATTGAGGCTTCCTACTAATAAGCTCGATATCCAGGGTAGACCATGGAGATTAACATCCGGTCGACCGGGGTATACCATATAAAAACTGTTGGACAAGATGGTCTTCCTTACTCCATTTTGTCTTATATCCTTGCGATTGTATTGCCTGACAACTGACCAAATACAAACTACGACATGTCATCTCTGCAGACCAAACGACCGCTTCGCATCCTAGGTCAGTGCTTGGCCAATAGAAAGACGGTTATGGACGCTGATATCTTATATTTTAGGATCGTCTGGATCCGCCCAGGACCGCCGAAGGCTTCTTGCTGCAGCTGTGAAAAACCATAAGAACGACCCATTTGATGTTCTTGTTGGAGACTGGATGTCTGAAGCTAACATGACCTTCAATGCTACAAAGCACTACAAAGGTATATTGTTTATATATCATACATGCACCGATATCTGTCTTCCAGTATTTAATCCAAAGCAGGAGAAGGAATTGCCTACGAGAAAACCTTCATTTCCGCCCTCGAAGACGTGCTACCAGAGGTCGCTGGGCATGGCATTAAGATTGCGGCAAACGCCGGGTCATCAGATACCAAGGGGCTTTATGATGCCCTGCTTGCCCTTGTGAAGGAGAAGAATGTATCTCTAAACATTGCTTGGGTCGAAGGGGATCAGGTTTTACCAGCTGTACTGAAAGCAGAAGCCGAGAACGCCTTTGATTTTCGCCATCTTTGCACAGACCAACCTTTCAGCGAATGGAGACATGAACCGATTTCCGCCCAGGCGTATTTAGGCGGCCTTGGAATCGCCGAAGCTTTCAAGCAAGGTGCCGATATTGTTGTTTGCGGTCGAGTTTCAGATGCTTCTCCCGTCATTGGAGCTGCATTATGGTGGCACGGCTGGGACCGGGAGGACTATGATCAACTTGCCAACTCCCTCGTGGCTGGACATTTGGTCGAATGTTCTTCCTATGTCACTGGCGGCAATTTTACCGGATTCAAAGACCTGGAGCATCGTGGCTGGCAAAACCTCGGCCTGCCCATTGCTGAAATTGACTATTCTGGCCAGGTTATAATCACCAAAACCCGTGGAAGTAATGGCTTGGTCTCGGCCAATACCTGCAAGTCGCAACTACTATATGAGATCCAAGGTCCACGATACTATAACTCCGATGTCACAGCGTATCTAGAAGGAGTCAAGTTCGAAGAGCGTGGGCCTGATCGAGTCCTTCTATCCGGAATTTACGGTGGCCCACCCCCTGCCACTACGAAAGTCGGAATCACAGCCAAAGAAGCGTATCATGCCGAGCTATTATTCTGGCTGGTAGGGCTTGATATTGATGCGAAAGCGAGGATGCTGGAGGCACAAATTCGGGAGGAATTGGGTCACCGCGTGAAGAATCTGAGCCTGCTTGAATTTAGTTTGAATGGGATGGCAGCGGAAGACGCCCATAATCAAGCATCTGCCACTGTAGGGTTCCGAGTCGTTGCTCAAGCACTCGAAAAGAAACATCTCTCGTCGGCCAATTTCTTGGAACCCATCCTGGAGACTACCATGGAGCTGTACCCTGGTGGAACATTCCATATGGACGTGCGGACTGCTCTCCCTAGGGAGATCCATGAGTACTTTGTGACCAAGTTCCCCCAATCCCTTATCAATCACCGTATCCATCTCCACGATGGACGAACAATTGGCATCACGCCGCCATCAACGTTTGAGAACAGAATTCCAGCCCCTGCACAACCATCTGCTTATGTTGATGTCGGTAGTTTTGGTCCAACAAAACGAGGACCTTTAGGCTGGATAGTCCATTCTCGCTCCGGAGACAAGGGCTCTAATGCAAATGTCGGGTTCTATATCCGTCATGATGATGAATATAAGTGGCTCCGTGCGCTTCTTACAGTCGAGAAAATCCAGCAACTTCTGGCAAGGGAATACAAGGGTGGAAGAATCGTGAGTGACTTCTTCTGTAGAAAGCTTTGTATCCTATGGCTAAAACTTCATTTTCAGGAGCGATTTGAATTGCCGAATATTGGAGCGGTGCACTTCTTGCTTTACGATCATCTTGACCGTGGAGTTAGCTGTACTACAACGCTCGACTTCCTCGGGAAGAATGTTGGGGAGTATTTGCGATCAAAATTTGTTGATATTCCAGTCGCCTTCTTGGAGCGTGGGAAGATCTAAGACACTCCATAGATAGGCGAAGCTTTACTCAAATTTATTGTACTTTGGCAGCGTTTCCACCTCCCTCCGGAAAGGTCTCTTGCACATCACTCTCGTTTGACTTTTGGCAGTGCGAAATTAATATCACTACCAAGCGACAATGTTTAAACATCAATTGAAGGTTTGGAGTTTGACTTGGTTGGTTTGGTGAGCTTGAGTCGTTCAATTTCTATCTCTTTAATATACTTAGTATTTTTAGGTTTATTATAGAGCTAAGGCCGTGACTTTAATATATCAGCCTTTAATAACACCTAGAGGTTCTCAATTAGGTTTAAATCGGGTGAATATAGAGCCTAGATAGCCATACCTAGGTATAGTTACGCTTAAAAGTTACAAGCTTTCTTGCCGAGTGGGTCCTTACCAAGCCCCGTCCCCGCCTTTGTTCAATATCCCAATCTTTCCCCTCCAATTTCCTTCTTTTCCTCACCCATATGCGTTGTCGCAGCTTTTCCCTCTCCGACCCAAGACATTGAATATCAAAGGCTTTAAGTTCATCCGCCGGAGATGTCTTCTTTACCACCCGGATGGACCGAAGAGCGACTTCAAACCATAACCGAGGATGACTCGCGTCAAATACCGAAGGTAAGCTATGACCACCTTCGAACTTCCATGGAACCCTTCATTAATTCGTACTATCTCTCACCAACTCAGCAAATCCGCCAAATTAATTTAGATTTGATCCCCCTCGACAAGATCATGGATAAATGCTTAATGCCTCGCTTTGAGGATCCGGAATTACAAGGTGCTACTCATCAGCAGATTCAACAGTAAGATCATCGTTGGAATTTCAATGTTTTCAATGCAGATCACTGATACGAACCAGATCATACCATGGGTACCTAGGAACTGAGGGCGTGGCTCCGGGATTAGATATGGGCCTGTGTCTACTTGCTGATACTGCCGCTGTGGAGTCCATGAACAGTGACCTGCCATGGGTGTACGCGTTGGATATGAACTTCGATCATTCGAGCGAAGTGGAAGAGGGAGAATATCCAGGATATTTCCGAGTTGCTGTGGACTCGGTGATCACGGAGCTTTATCCCATGCTTACAGCTATGCCACCCGCGGAGCTTTGGGCCGAGGGGGATGAGATATGGCAGTCAGCCGTTTAGTCAGAAACTCTTGGTATTGTAAATTAAAACGGGCTATTTGATCAATATATCTATTAGCCGAATGCAGGCTTATACCGGAACCTCTATCCCATAGAGGGTTGTCTATATAGGCTGAGTGGGCGATACCGTACGATGTGGTGGAAAGCTTCATTCAGTCTTTCGAGGCTGAAATTCAAAGCGAGTTAGCAAACCTCAAAGTTGGTGGCTCTTTTCATTACAAGAACTAATCCGATAAGAGACAGCCAGTATTTGAGAGCTATCCAGCTGGCAATCTCGCGCGCCTGGATAATATTCGTCACAAGTATGATCCCAGTAGGGTCTTTACTGACTTGATGCCAGGAGGATTCAAGATGGAGCCTACACACTCTTGAAGAAGTCTCCTTTTCATTTTGGCCTGCATACTTAGCATCGGTTCCGTCTTAAAACCCTAAGCTCAGATGGGATCTTTCTTATCGCCGGCAAATCCTCCATTTGCCTTGAAAAAGGTTCCTTGAGATATCTACCTGATGACTTCAAACCATGTCTCTTTCTCGGATGTATGTATCATATTATATAGATTTCTTGTTCACACACTCTCTCTTGTTCAATCAAAACACCAAGTTATGTTTTCAGAGGGTTTTCATTTTCGACTTAGTGAGATCACCATCTGATCAGATCTGTCTGTATTTTATTTCATGAGCTCCGATATACAATGTGTGAGGCATGAGAGTACTTACTAGTATGTGTAATACAGCGTCGCCTTAATTGTAAAATCCCTCAGTGGAATTGCTTGAACTTTTTAAAAACTACTTCTCTGTCTCCTAAGGCCCTCAAGCGACCCGTGATTATCGATTACATTTACCCATAACTCCTAAGACAAGCATGACAGTACCAAGTGAGTCAATAGCATCGCCTGCCTAGGTACATCTAGAACTGGAAATAAAGCTACACAGTGCTCCACAGGTAAAGCCATAGACTCTTGTATTAGTAGCCAATAAAACTAAACGTAGAGAAAGGTATGGTAGGTTTATCACCATCACATATCAGCAGCGACCCACCTAGTCCTCAACCCCCTTCTTAGTCTGTATGATCTTCCTCTTGGAATCAATAGTTATTTCCGGTGCAGCTAGATCTATGTTGAATTATGGTAACGGCTCTCGGGGCAAAGTCCCTACTTATTTAGAAAGGCTTCACAGCGTGCAATTTCCGTTGGTGTGCCACTCGGACCGCCGAGAGGTATACGATTCTGCTGGCTAAATAGTAGTATTACTGCCTCGTCCACTTTATATGCAAACGGCTTTGTTTTTTTTTCCGTTATTTCTTTTTCTGTATCCGGTAGAACTTGGCTGAATAAATCGCAATAGTGGCATTGCGAATGGTGGCCCTAACTGCCGTCCTAGCACACCAGTTCTAGAAGGGTAGTTCATCTATATTGTATGTAGATTGACGTTTAATTTTGGATAGAAACATAATAGACGTATACGTAGAAAAGTAAAACCAAAGATTTTGACACGAGGTCAATTTGTTTTAGTAACAAGTTGAGAACAAGACTTTGGGGAAGGAGCTAACTACGGCAACCTTCCCACTGTTCAGATGCCACATTTGGATTATCAGATCTTACCGAATTATTTAAATACCTGTATTTATGTAGTAGGTTGTGGTACAAAGTAAGTTGGGAAAGGTTCTAGGTAGAGTTCTAATCTAGAATGGAGTAAGTTTATAAATCCTCGATTGATCCTTAGATATTTAGTTAATTTTTGTAGAGGTACTGTTAATTTCATAAATATTCTACCAGATCCTCTGGGATTCATTGCTTTATCTACAAGTGTTGAATAAAGTCTGTAAGGTTAGAAAGGGGATGGTATGAGTCAGTCTCATCGGCATCCAATCACTGTCTAAGACGAATGTCCCCGGCACCGGTGCATTCCTCGATGTCTGGTAAAAGATCAACGGCATATCCGATGGCAACAGTAGCTAAATAGTAGCCAATTAAAGCAAGTCTATATAGCGGAAGAAGACTTCTATTTTAATAGACAGAGATCTCGTGGCTGGATACATTGAATAGGGGTGCGGTTAACATACAAGCTCTTGGCGTCAGAGCCACAGCGCAGACTTCCGCCCTTCAACTGCTTGCTCTCTTGTACAGATTTCCGTGTCAGCATTGAGCTCGGCATTAAAACATATCCTGATTAAAACATATCCTGATATATGTTGATTGATTCTCGTTTTCATTGGTATGTCACTCTGATAAAGTTCAAGTATTTCTTGACACATCCGTCAGTCACATCTATCCCTGACTTCCATGCATAACGTGTGTAGATATTTATTGATATATTAATATTGGATTTGGGAATTTCGGAACGCATCCCGAGTTCGCGAGCGGATTCCAATCCGAACCTCGGGTCCGGGACGTAGAGTCGGCAGTCTCACAAGGGTATTTTCCATGGGCGGTATAATCGCTAAGCGTAGATGGTATGTGGATGGATTTATGTGATTAATAAGCTTGAAATTTTTGAACAGATCTACTATATGCTTGTTACGTATGGAGTAGAATCTGGGTATTCGAATCTTGGCACGGAATTATTCCCGTCCTGAAGTATTCCCCATGGGGCCCCGCAAGCTTTAGAACAAGTCCCTTGGGCGGTTTTCACAAGGCCTCAAGGTTTTTTGTGCTTTCCTTCTGAGCACTTTCTATTTTACGTCAATTGGGTCTCGTTCTTTAATCATCACTCCCGCTGTTACTAGGCCCATCGACCTAAGACTATTAATCGACCTCGTTTAAGCTTCATTGTCACAATTTTACAATTTCCGCATAAGATGAGCGAGAACGTCTCCCCGGCGGCGGCTGTTCGATCAGACGATATGGCCCTCAGCAACATAAGAAAGGATCGATTTGAAGACTCAACCCACCTGGAGGACGTCTCCGTTGCGACTTCGGATACCCAAGCACCAGAGGCTCCGATCAACTGGCCCGCTTGGAAACGAAATGCCCAAATCCTGATGGTGGCTACCCACTCGATGGTATCCGTTTTCATGGCCGCCGGGATCATTCCTGGATATGAAGCAATGGCGGAAGAGTATAACATCACGGTGCCTCAGGCCAGCTATCTAACATCCGTCCAGGTGTGTATATTTTCTATCATTTCACCTTGGTATAAGCTGACAACATATATTTATCCTGCCTAGATTTTAATCTTGGGAATTGCCCCATTCTTCTGGATTCCGATCACAATGCGCTATGGCCGTTACCACATCTTCATGTTTTCGGTGCTCGGCACCATGGTGTGTAATATCGGAGGTGTGTTCTGCAGAACTTTCGGCTCGCAGATGGCTACTCGTGCTATTGCGGCTTGGCTCATTTCGCCTCCACTTGGAATTGGCAGTGGTGTGGTGACGGAACTGTGCTACCCTGAAGAGCGTGCCCGGAAGTTGGGATGGTGGACCCTGCTGATCACTATCGGGATACCCGGCGGTGCATTCATAAACGGCTTCGTCGTGCAACACCTAGGGGTGTCCTGGATATTTTGGATATTTGCAATTATTAATGGCGTTCAATTCATTGCCTACGTCCTGCTTGGTGACGAAACCTTATACATCAAGGATATCTCCATCCATCCGAAACCCAATGGCTGGAGCCGGCTCTTCCCTTGTCGACTCGACCCTCGCCCCTTCGAGATGCAAAACTTCATCGCCCCCATTTTTCTAGGCAGTTTCCCTCGCATTTTGATCCCAGGGGTTGCATATGGCGTCGAATTTGCCTACGCTAATATCGCTATCATCGTTGAGACGCCACTAATCTTCGGCGAGAAATTTCACTTCAATGCCCAGCAAGTAGGCTACCAGTTCATTTCAATCATCATCGGCTCCGTTATTGGTGAACAAGTTAGTGGGCCAATGTCAGATTGGTTCCTGGGTGTTCTCCGGCGCCGGAAGGGCCACACCATCCCTGCGGATCGTTTGTGGCTGTCATATATCGGATATGGCACTGTCTTCGCGGGCCTACTAGTCTGGGGCTTTCAATTAGAAAAGGCAACCACTTGGAACGTTACACCATGCATCGGAATGGCTATCGCTGCCTTTGGAAACCAGGTACTCACTACCACCCTCATATCCTTCGCAGTCGATAGCCACAAGGAACACTCTGCCAGCATTGGCGTTTTTATCAACCTCTGTCGACAGATCTATGGATTTGTGAGTCCTCAACAAAGTTTTTGACCTTAATCCAACATAGATACTAACTGAAATATCTCTTTAGTGCGGTCCATTCTACTTCCCTGATATGTATGCCAACCTCGGGCTAAGCGGCGCTGCTGGTGTTATGTGTGGGATTATGGCAATTGTGTCTCTCACTCCGGTTTTTTTGATTCAGTTAATCGACACAAGGAGACAGCCCCAGCAATATTGATGAGAATCAACTCCTGTGGCCAGATTTACGACCACGTGATTGGATTTCGTCTTGAGATATTTCCGGAACTTTGCATCTGTATGGAGTGCATAGGTGGTTTCATATCAATTCTGTGACGTGTTTAGGCATTATAGACTTGTTGCTTCACAGCACATTAATGTACAGCAACCCAGTCAAAGAGATGAACATACTACAGCTTCGTAGAGGAATCCCGAGTTTTCCATCGCATTGGGAGGTCGGTGTATCCTCTCTGGTCCCCCATAGTCCAAGATGTGAAATCAGTCTCACTGGTCCCAATGTCTTCGCTTTTTCTAAATTATGGGCACTATCATGTATAGCTATTCCCTTTGTTCAAAATACCCACTTCCGCATTCAAGTCTCACGGGCATGAATTGTGCGATTGCGGCGCGTACCTAGGTGTATAGCGTCTAGAGTTCGTTTCACTAGATTAATGCCTAAAAGCCTGATTTTGGCCTGGTCAAAAAATAACAATATTTGAAATACTATTATATTATAGATCCCTTATTAAGCAATGTACCCACCCGGGTTCTACCGGCCTTGCGCAGGAAAGTAAATTGAAGCTTTTGATCCCATGCAAAATTCAAATATCTGGATAGTGCGATTTTAAGCACCCAAGAAATGGAGATATATGACTTTTGCATGGCATCAAAAGCTTCATTTTTCTATATACCGGTTATGATAGTTATTCTATGCGGAATGGTTCACAGCACAGTGTATATTGTGAGGCCTAAAAGCGGTCTAATATCAGGCATGATTAAGGCACGATTAAGGCGTAAATCAGGCAAAAATTAAGCTTTCAGGCATTGATCTAGTGAAACGAACCCTGGACGCTATACACCTAGGTAAGCGTGTTTAGCAAAGGCGGTTGGTTATAAAATCCAGTGTTCCACGTCGTTTACCACAATTGGGAGCTTCTTGTATTGCAATTTAGTCTTGAGGCCTCAAGTCTAGGAATTGCGATGAGCATTTCAACAAGTATCCAGCATCTCGACAAGAGCAGCCTTCTCGTCCGAAGTGATGGTAAGATCATAGACTGATTTCACCTTCACCCACATCTTGGCGTAAGTGCAGTAATATGAAGCTATTTCGATGTCAACGATTTATAGATCACACAATACACACGGTTTCTGACGTACCCAGCGGGGGCCTCCAAGATTCTGGGCCTTTGTCGCCCTTTGCGGAGTTCACGTTGTCGGTGACTGCTAAGAGCTGGGGGTTCTTGAGGTCATTGGCGAAAGCTTGACGATCTGCTTTAGTCCAGCTGGAGGCGCCGGACTATCCAGATTCATTAATATCTTGAGTCGTCTATTTTGTCAGATAAGCCGATCTCACCTTCCATGCGTTTGATAATGGGACGACGTGATCGATGTCAACATCACTTGCAGCTGTCCAGGTCTGGCCATCGTACGGAGAAACCCAGGATCCACTGGTAGCACCGCAACTGGAGCTTTGGACCACGTCGGTTCCATCCCGTTTGAGGATCGTTTCGCGTGTGTTGCAATTTCTGTGGACAGAAAATTTGAGTTGCCAATACTTTAGAATCATGGTGATCTTATCTACTCACCCGCTGATAGTAATCCAGTGTGGGAATTCGTCACGGCTATATCCATCCTGCGATCCCTGTGCAGCAACGGTCAATCCTGCAAGCTCACTCGTTGCAGTAGAGGTAGACGGAATTCCGGGTGGTGATGGGGCAGGCAAGGCTCCGCCTAAGAAAGGCTGGAAGGCGAAGGCCAGAACCCAGGCAGCGCGAGATATGCCCATTATGGTTTTTCTTCTAGCAAATATCGATTGTTTTCGATTGAACTGTGAATACCAACTGGAATGCGTTGAGTAATTAAGGCTCAAGAATTTAGGGTAAATACAGTACACCTCCAAGTTGGAACTATGATTTTATACTCCTGCTTTATCTGTTCGGTCGAGTCAAGCCCCTCACATAAACAATGCTAATCCAATACCGACTCCTCTCCAAATGCATTGTAACATCGGCTCCCGAGTCTTGGCCCGGGGCTTGGCGTTGCACGTTGATCAATCATTGGCTTGCGACTAGACAGGGCGGGAAGTGCGGGAGCTGTGCAAGAGTTGTGACTGATAACAAGCACATCATTCGCCGTAGATTCATATAACAACAAGTCACCTGGGCCGTAAAGGGACCAGATGAGGGTACTCGTGTAGAAGGTTGAAACAGAAGTCTACCTGAGAGGGACAGCAAAATTCCAATATGGAAATGATCGTCTAAGATCTTCCCCCTTTCTAAGTCTTGCGTTGCACAGTATTACGGCTACGTTGTTCTCGGCACTACAGTCCGTACTAAGACAAGGGTTGCAATCAAAAAGACATTAATCTATGGAGAATGTGTGTCCACTTTACAGTAAGCCTCTGGTAAACTGCCATGGGAGAGATACCTTCACATCTAGTTTCTTGGCAGCCGTGAGCACCCATTCAGGCTCACGCAAAAATTGACGGGCCATTAACACGGCATCGGCCTTAGGCTTGTGGCCAGACAAAATTGCCTCGGTCGCCTGTGCCTCTTCTTCTGCACCCTGAACAATATCGCGAGCGGACTCAGCCTCTGTAATGAAGCCAACCGCTCCAACCAGCGTCGTATGCTTAGCAGCGTGGATTTCTTGACGAATTTGGCCAGCGAGATCAATCTGATAGTTCGTATGAGGCTCGATACGTTGGCTTTTGTGATTACCGCCTGAACTGACATCCAGGAAGTCAATCCCCAGGTCTGGTAACAATTTTGTCAATTGAATTGAGGATGGCATGTCCCAACTTCCAGTTCTTGCTGCGACAGCTTGATTCTCGAGCCAATCCGTCGCACTAATACGAAGAAACAAGGGCATTCCACTTGGCACGACGGCACGGATTGCAGTAGCCACCTCGGATAAGAGCCGAGTTCGGTTCTCAAAACTGCCACCATACTTGTCCGTTCGTCGATTGGTAATGGGGCTGAGGAATTGATGGATCAGGTACCCGTGGGCCCCATGGATCTCAATTACATCCACTCCTGCTTGTGCAGCAAGCTCTGCACTTCTCGCAAACGCCCGGACAAGTTCTTCAACCTCGACAGTTTCAAGCTCGCGAGGGGCCCAAAATTGATCACCAGGGGCCCAAATTTGCTCTTCCCCGCCAGATGGGCCAACCACATTTGATGGCCAACCACCAACACTTTCGTCGGCTTTGATGCCGCGTTGCTTGGCTTGGGCTGCGAGCCAGGGTGCGACCGTGCTAGCCTTCCGACCAGCGTGAGCAAGCTGAATGCCGATTCTGGCCCCTTGACTATGAACGAAATCCACCACGCGGCGAAGTCCTTTGAACTGTTCGGAGTCTGTCCCATCTTGCCAAAGGCCAGAATCATTGGGCGAAATCCGACCATTGGGCTGAATGGATGTGGCTTCAATAAAAATTAGGCCGGCTCCCTTCGTGGCCAAATGACCGAGATGCGCGATGTGAAAATCTGTGAGAGCGCCTACAGCTGGAGAAGTTGGGTCTGATTCAGTGGAGTAGGTGCACATCGGCGCCACAATCACACGATTCTTCAGTGTAACATCTCGAATCTGTAAAGGGCGGAACAGCGTCGGGGTGTTGGGGTCCTGTTGGTTTACAGCTGCTCCAGCATTGTTGGCGGGGGTAAAATAAGGCAGACCCTCGGCCCGGTGGATTGTCGGGGAAGTAAACGGAGTAGATCCCATTTTCATTTATTGCCTAAAAGATTAAGAATTGATTTAGACAGATTTATAGGTGGAGGGACGCAGAAATGCTTCCCTTTATATATACACACTTCCAAGGTTGAGAACAATCCATCTGCTGACAAATTGGAAGTTTCCATCGGAGACAATGCCGAACAGCCGGTGTTAGGAATTCCAACCATCACAATAGATATACGGAGTAGTATAGTATATATTGGTGGTTGGCCAAAAAAGCCCAACCATAGAAGAACTAGTTCACCATGCGAAAAATAAGCTTATACAGGAATCCAATAAAGATCCTCCCAACCACCTGTTCCATCTCGGCATCATTTGGAACGACTTGGAATCTTAGCATACCCTGGTCCAAAATAATTGATATATTTCCGCCATTCTTTGGAGTGAGGAGAAATTATTTCTTCAATGGATGAATACAACCTGAAAACTCTCCCAGACACTGAGCCGTAAAGCATCGGTCGAGGTCGAGAATCCAAAAATGACCACAACCATAACGAGCTGTATGATCAAGGACTTCTAGCAGGGACATCTAGATACCAGGTTCAGAAAAATGAGACAATCTTCCAAATAGTTTCACTTGCCTCGAGGTTGTATTTGTCCTTGATTGCATTCAAACCCCCGCGACTTTGAGCCCGAGATACTATAATCTCAAGACCTGCCTGTTGCAATAGTATTGTTGCGAGAAATAATTATAGCAAGGCAAATACCTAAGAAGAATATTATGCTATCGCTGTCATTCTATTATAGACTACCTAGGTAACTACACTAGCTACACTACTTGGACATTCCGACTGTGACGAAGAAAGTTGACTATATATCTTGGCCTGAAACATCCATGTTATATTATTTTCAACTAGAGATAGATGTGGAAAGGGCGCTGGAAATCTCACCATTATTTCCATTCTTTGAGACACAAGTCATTATCCTAAAAGACAAGTCGCAACATGAAATGGTGGGGTGTCTAGCTTCTATGAAGATCAACAACGCCATCCAAAACACCAAAAGAGGACAAAAGACAAGTGGTAGGAGAGATACAAAAGAATTCTTGAATAAATATTCAATTCTTCTACATGTTACACCATTTCACTGTCTCATATGGTTACCCAGGGACATATGTATCAAATAAAAACAGCCAATAGCATCAAATGTGCACGTTGCTTATCCACCTGCACACATCAGCTGCACCTCCCAAACTTCAACTTCAACTTTGACATCTCTCTCACTTTCAGGCAAGTCTCTACTCTCGCTACCTTTTCACCTTTCTCTATCTCACCCTTCTGAAAGTTAACTTTTTGAATACATCAGCTCTCCCAACCTCAACTTCAACGAGTCAACTACCCTGGCTATCTTTGCTTTGCCTCCACGTCGATAATACATCACCATGGTTACAACAGTCTTCACCAATGGCCGTGTCCTCTTTCCCGGCTTATGGGGTAATTTTGTCCCCACCCTGGTAGTCGAGGACGACCATATCACGCACGTCGGCTGGGAGCATGACCAGGCAGTTGTTCGGGTTCAAGCGACAGCATTAACAGTGGATTTGAAGAATCGAATCGTCCTCCCGGGGTTCATTGATGGCCACGTGCATATCCTCAATTTCGGTATGTCGCTGCAGAAACTTGACCTTCTGCCTTGCAAGAGCCTCGCAGATATCCGAAATGCCATCACTTTATATGCCGCGACTCATCCATCCGATCCACGCATTCTATGCCGAGGCTGGGTCCAATCGGTTACGGATGGCAACGCTCTTGCAACAGCCTTGGATGACCTAGATCCGCGACCGATCTATATCGAGGCATTGGACCTCCACTCGACGTGGTGCAATAATGCAGCTCTCACAGAGCTAGAGGCTCACTCGAAACCCGACCCTCCAGGGGGAAGATTCATCGCTGCCAGAATGGGATACCGTCTGGCTTACTCGAGGAGGCTGCGCAGTTCGACATTGTCTGGCCGTTTTTGGACCGAGTCACGTCCATGGAGAAGAAGGTAGCCGCAATTGACGCTGCGATCAGTGCCCATCAACGTGCTGGGTATACCGGACTCGTGGATATGGCTATGGGAGAGAGTGAGTGGGCGGCATTGAATACCTACAGAAACCAACGTGGTGGGCTTCCAATGCATGTGGCAGCACACTGGTTGGTGCCCTACTCAAAATGTGACTCCGATATTTGCGGTCATATTGACCGTGCCATTGAGCTTCGACAAATCTTCAACCGCAAAACCTCCCCAGAGTTTTGTATCAATGGCATTAAGCTCCTCTGTGATGGCACTGTGGATGGGTGTACAGCGGGACTACACCAGCCGTATGGCGGATCTTCCAATATCGTCGATCCCATCTGGCCTGCTGGTGCCCTTGCAGCAGCTATTCGCCGCGCTACTGATGCCGACCTGCAGTGCGCCATTCATGCAATCGGGGATCGAACAGTGCAGCAGGCTATTGACTGTTTATCGCAGGTTCAGAACCTGTCAGCTTGTCGTCATCGTATTGAACATTTAGAGATAACAACTCCCAAAGATGCGAGAAGGCTTGGCCAACTGGGAATAGTGGCCTCAGTCCAGCCTGTCCACCTAGACCCAGCGACCTTTGGGGGATGGCCAGAGATGCTTGGGAATCAGCGTTGCAGGCGGGCTTTCGCGTACCAAGACTTCGTCGATGCCGGTGCTCATTTGGCCTTTGGGACCGATGCCCCCACTGCGGAGCATCACGCACTATCAAATCTTTACATTGCTACCACTCGGCGGTCGTCTATGGATCCCTCCTTGCAAGATACTGTCAATCCCGAGTTCGCGGTTTCCCTCGCGGCCGCTGTCTCAGCAGCTACTGCGGGGGCTGCGTATGCGTCCTTTTCAGACTCGTGGACGGGGAGTCTACGTCCGGGATTCAGTGCCAACTTCGTTGTGCTGGATATGGTCTGGGCCCCGGGGTCTCTGCTAGAAGCTCGGGTGTGCCAAACCTGGTACAAGGGAAAGAAGGTGTTTGATGAAGAGGCGGGTGGCCTGTGATTTGAGGATTCTCTCCTTTCGAAGAACCACATTAAGACAGCACTGAAGAAACAATAAAACAACATCCCCTGTGGGATAATTACCTTTTTAAAACTCCCCTATTTAAAACTACTCTACTTCCGCCAACTCAAACGCCAACACTCTCTCGATTGATTGTACAACACTTCCAACTCAGACACTTACATCCTCAGTATGAATGACTGTGCTCATTCCTTTTCCACTCTCCCCAATCTTTGCCATCTCCAGATTCGTAGCTCTGGCAATGTCCTCTCCGTCGAAAATCTTGGTTATCTCTTCCAGCGGCATGTAACGTGTCTCAACGTAAAGGAAATAGATGACGATCACTTCCACCGCCAAGAAACAGCAGTAGAAAATGTAATAGCGCCAGTGTATATTGTCAAGAGCGATTGGATTGACATATTGATTGAAGAATAACGCGATATACATCGCGAACTCCATGATTGTATATCCTTTGGCCCGCATTGAATACGGAAGAATCTCCGTAGTATAACTTGCGATCAAACCTGACCTACTCCACGTCAGCGGTAACAGGAGTCTATCCATCAGGATAAACTCACTTTAGGTTGTAGAATAGATAGTAGATAAAGATCATACCCAGCACTCCTGACCCAAGTGCCGAGTTTGCATGGTCATAATACTTTGCGGACAGGATTGTCCACACCATGAAAGCGACCATCATGCCAGCAGAGCTGATAATCATGATTGGTCGACGCCCCCATTTATCGACAAAGAAGCTGAAAGCAATATTGGTGGCGAGATTGAAAGAGGTCAAGGCTCCATTGATCAACAACTGTTGGTTCGGGTCTTTGATTCCGATACTATCCATGATGAGGTTCAAATAGTACGATACCAAGCCATTGCCTGACCACTGGGCAAAGAGTCCGAAAGAGATGATGATGAGAAGTCTTTTGCGATTACCAGGAGTTCGCAGAAAATCGACATAAGATCCCGAATTCTCTCCATTCTTCTCCATCGCAATCGCAGTTGTAATTTCGGTGAACTCCACCTGAACTACCTCATCGCTCTCATCTCCCTGAGCATGGTAATAAGCCAGCATTTTCAAGGCTTTTTCGGGTTGGTCTTTGGAGACATAATAGCGCGGACTCTCCGGAATCCACCACACAACTGCCAGCATAATCAATGTGAATATCCCTTGGATTAAGCTCGGTGCTCTCCAAGACCAATCGTTCTATTATTGTTACTGAAACGCCGGTAGACCGTGATTCCCACTACTTACTTTGATTTTCAAGGTTCCATATGTCGTCCATGCGGCGATAAAAGCCCCCGAGTGATAGGTGGCGCCAGATATAGTAACCAGAATTGCTCTGTCTTGAGCCGGGGCAATCTCTGTAATAAGCAGTGGAGCAGTGCAAATCACGATGATGTCTCCAAACCCGAGAATAAATCGAGCTCCGACGAACATGGAGAAGTTAATCGAACCTGACTGCAGAGCCACGCCAAGTAACATAAAAGAAGAGCCAAAGACCAAACAAACCCTACGGCCTAGACGATCAAGCATGTAGGGCAAAATGACTAAACCGGCTAATGCACCAACACTCATAACGCAGTTGAACAAACCCAGTGTCGGACCTTTTGGGTGGTTGAAATACTCCTGCCAATAGGACAATGCTTGCAACCCATTCCTAATCTCAATGAGAATAAAACTCTTAGAAGGGTGAGATAGGATGCTCAAGAAAACTCACATCATCGAGTTATCAAATCCATTAGCCGTGTTGGTCGCAATCAAAACTAAAATGTAGAAGTACAGGACTCGCATATTGCGTTGTTTCCACCATTTCACGCGACAAAACAGTCGTCCTGCTAAGTAGAAATGACCTTTGGGGGGTTTAACCGTCTCATATGCTTCACTCATTTTGGGTTGGCCTCTCAATTTAAAATTAAAATAGAAGTTATGTGTCCCAGGAAGAGGTAGGGGTCGAGGCGGTCCACCATATTTATATAGTCCAACATACCACACGTATACTGCCTCAACGCATATAGCCGGTCGAATGGGTTTATTCATTTAGAAAGACGAACTGGAAAAAAAGGCAACTGGTCATGTCGTTATCGGGCTTGTCTTTCATCGTTCATTCAGCCTAATAGGAAGATCAAATGCGGGGTGATCGTGGAACATTTCTCGTTGATGCCGGTGACATGCCGTGTCCAAAACGGTTAACTTCTGGCGCCACATAAATACAACTGATGATGGCAACCCCTTCTCTCAAACCCCCCCCAAACGAACAAAGATATCACTCAACATGGCTGTTGCTCACCATAATCCGATTATCCCCGGATTTGCTCCTGACCCTTCCATCTGCCTAATCGATGGCGTATTCTATCTGGTGAACTCGAGCTTTCATCTCTATCCCGGACTACCCATTTATATGTCAAATGACCTGATCTCATGGAAACATATTGGTAAGACATTTCTATCTAAGTCCACCTATTGGAAGCCTAACATGTTTTAGGAAATGCTATAAACAGACCATCCCAACTGTCCCTGTCCCGAGCAACTACATTTATTGCCCCATGGGACGATGGTACAGCAATGGTTGGGACTGGGGGCCTTTACGCGCCCACAATCCGACATCACAACGGCATAACCTACATCATATGCACCAACGTCATCCATGGTCCATCCAATGTACTGGGCGATGAACGAAATGAACAATTCATCATTCACACAACCGATATTTGCTCGGGGAGTTGGTCGGACCCAATAGTCTTCGGATTTCCTGGAATTGACCCGTCTCTGTTGTTCGATGATGACCGAGTATACGTCCAACTATGCAAAACGGGACCCGAGTTCCACATTTACAACGGCGAAATAGATATCACAACCGGGGGTATGATTGTAGAGCCCACTCTCATCTGGAAGGGATGCAAGAAAGGATATACAGAGGGCCCACATATATACAAGAAGGACGGCTGGTACTACCTTTTATGTGCCGAGGGGGGCACATTTCGATACCACATGCTAAGCATGGCGCGATCAAGAAACATATGGGGCCCGTATGAGTCCTATGATATGAACCCTTTGTACACAGCTAGCGGCACTACTCAATATGTGCAAAACACTGGACATGGCGATCTTTTCCAAGATCAAAACAAGCAATGGTGGGTAGTCATGCTGGGGATTCGCATCAAGGAGGGACGATCTATCTTGGGACGGGAGACATTCCTGACAGCGGTTAATTGGCCTTGTGACGAGTGGCCGATGATTGAATCAATCACAAGTGACGGAGATTTGGGGACAAATTTCAAGGAGTGTCAAGACTCACTTGCTGTTACCCCCTGGGTTCATTTGAGAGATGCTAAACTAGACCGGTACCATATTCACGACAAGTGCATCACACTACAAGCAGACCCGGTGGAGTTTACTAGCCCGGATGAGTCAATTACTTTTGTTGGCCAACGGCAACGAAGACTGGAAGGCACTGCTACGGTCACTTTGTACAGGCCGCGGCATTCCACATCAGTTCGAGCAGGGATGGCTCTCTACAAAGACGAGCACCGATTCTTGACAATTGGATATGACTTCCACTCCCAACACGTCATTTTCAACGGATTGAATCAAGCGAAGTCATTCTTGCAAAAAGAGACACAACGTGTGGAATTCCATGATTTCATCTCTTTCAAAATTAGCTACACCGAGGCTTCTCTGCAATTCTTCTTTAGGGTGGATGAGGCGGACTGGCATGATTTGGCGACTGTTGACACCGCCATCATGACGGATTACGATTTCACTGGTCCGGTCATTGGGATTTTTGCCATTGGGGATGATGTTACGGTGGAATTTGGAGACTTCCAAATTGATGCTGTGTAGGGTCCACTAAAGGATTGATCCGACAAATATAATCAAGTTTATAAGCTCAGAGTGGGGATTTGTGCTGATTTCCGTTTTCCTTTTCTAAATGCTTCCAGGCTTGAGTTTCTGCAAATCTTCTGCTGTCCAATCGGTTACTAGCATGTGGCCAGGCTCGTGGGCAAAGACTAGGCCTTCAATTTTGTCACTTGCTGCTTCGACGGCAATTTGAGGTGTCACTCCACAGGCCTAGAATGAAGTCAGATCAATACATCCAGGTGGTCATATGACTATGTAGAACTCACCCAAAACACAGGAACTTCCCCCTCCTCGAATGTCTGTGGTTCTCCAAAGTCTGGATTTGCCACATCAAGGATTCCGAGTTGTTTTGCACCATCCCATCCCCAGGCGACAGGCTCTCCGTGTGTTGAAAGATAGGCCCGAGTGATCTCCCTCACTCTCTCTATATGCTCTGGGCGATACGGTCGCATGGATACAATATAGTGGCCGCCAGTGAATATTCCAGCGGGTAGCAAAGGAATGTTTGATCGGTACATTGCAACTATCGTGCCAGTCTTTTGGTGGCGCGGTGGCAACCCTGCCGCCGTTAGGGCATTCTCAAATGAGAACGAGCACCCAATCAAAAAGCCCACATGATCCTTGGTCCATACATCAGACAAGTCACGGCGAGTCTCAATGCACTTCCCACCCGAGTATACTCGATATTTGGGGAAATCTGTCCGAATATCAAAATCTTCGGACCGAATACACTCTGTCGGTCGAACGGCACTTGGGTTCCCAGGAACAGCGCTCATTCCCAGCAGGGGACAAGGAACTGGGTTGCGCAAACACAAATCATGGAAATCTGCAGCATATTTTGACGGAAGTACCAGAAGATTTGCTTGTAAATATCCCGGTGCAACACCCGCGGTATTGGTGAGTTGATTGTAACGACAGCGCAGTCGTGCCTCTTGGGAGATGATATTGTTCATATTGTCCTGCTCTGATCTTTTTGACCAGGTAATAAACTACATATCCTATTAATATTCTCGCGTGTTTTCCTATCGTATAAATATATTAACTTCATATCATAACATAGTATCTACCCCCTATGATCTTCCAAGGTTGGAAGATAGGTAACCTCGGTTATCAATCGGGATCCACATACCGATGGGGTCTGGGGAAAAGGTTGGGGAAAACCCCACGACCCAAACAAATAACAACCTTGGAACCTTGGAACCAGATAAGCCACCAAGGTGATAAGCACAGAATGGTCCTTTCGACTTGCCTCTTCAGGTTAGGATCGGTACGGATCAATGGATTGGCTTGCATTAGTAGTGGATATCCCCCGTATCTCTCTTTCTCATTGGCTAATATAAGCCATTTCTCATCTGCTTTGACCCTTTCAAGGTTTCTTTTTGCTCGTCAGCTTTTTCAACTTCCGGCTCTTATCACCATCATCGGCCCGATGGATCCACTCACACTTAACTTGTATCGCTGTGGAAGATACGGAGATAGGCCATGTCACTATATGATCCACCTTGTATGAAAACATTCTGTAGGTCAATCAGTTCTTTCAACAATCTCGAAATTTTTGCTGCAACCTCATAGCAGCCATGTCACACGATACCGTTCACGATACCCCTTTGGAGCTTAAGGATTCCCTCAAAAAGGAGGATGCCGAAGAAGCAAACTATGCCGTCGCGGGCGAGTCTTTAGATGTGGTGCTGGATCCAACCAAAGAGGCAAAATTGCTCGCCAAGTTGGATGCTGCCTTTGTACCCATCATCATGTTGACCTATCTCACTTGCTTCCTGGACAGATCGAGCATCGGTGAGTTTTATTGAACCCCCTGAAAAGGAGCACAAACTCACAATGTTCAGGAAATGTCAAGGTTGCCAATATGCCCGAGGATATCAATGCTTCACCAGACGAGTTTTCAACCGCTGTCTCCATCTTCTATGTGACGTATGTTCTTTTCGAAGCACCATGGGCCGTCATGATGAAGAAATTGACACCTCGCAACATCCTGACGGGGCTCTGTATCGTTTGGTCTCTGACCACCATCTTCACTGGATTTATCCAGTCGGTAGGCTCTCTCTATGCCACTCGTCTTATATTGGGTGCTTGCGAAGCCGGACTGTTCCCTTGTCTCAATCTCTACCTGACCATGGTCTATCGTCGAGAGGAGCAAGCAAAGCGTGTCTCCTACCTGATGAGTTGTGCTGCCATATCGGGGGCTGTAGGTGGTCTCTTGGCCTACGGGCTCTTGCAGATGGACGGGATTGGTGGCAAAGCAGGATGGAGGTACGTTTTTCTTTATCCTTAAAATAGCCATTATTACTTACAGCATATCTTTCCAGGTGGGTTTATATCATTGAAGGCCTGTTCAGCATCATCTGTGCCCTTCTCATTTGGTTCGGCTTGCCAAATAACCCGGCCGAGGCCTACTTCCTCACCGAGGAAGAGAAATGGATGATGCGGGTACGCAACGAACAGCGTCGCAAGTACATGGGAAGTGAAGAGTTTAGCTGGGAAGAGATGCGGATCGCAATCAGAGATCCCAAGTTGATGTTCAGCAGTATCATCCAGTTCTGTCAGGATATTCTTTTGTATGGGTTCAGCACGTTCCTGCCCACTATCTTGGGTGGCATGGGCTATGACTCCCTGATGAGCAACGTCTTGACTGTCCCAGTTTACGTCTGGGCTGCGATGATCTTTGTCGTAATTGCTTGGTGCTCAGACAGATACTCCACATTTGCATCGGTATGTGTAACCAATTCCGCTATCCAATGAATCAATCGTTCCTCACTAACCGTTTCACAGTACATATTCGCGGCCAATATCTTCGGAGTTGTTGGTTACATCATACTTCTCACTGTAGACAATACTGCCGTCCTATACTTTGCCACTTTCCTCATCGGCATCACCACCTACACGTCCGTCGGTCTCAATATCGCTTGGCTGAACGTGAATATCGCTCCACAATACCGTCGTGCACTCGCGATTGGCCTCCAGCAGACAATCGGAAACTGTGCTGGTATCGTTGCCGGCCAGGTATATCGCACATCACCCTATGTGTTGGGTAACTCATTTTCCTTGGGGTCCCTAGTGATTGCCCAACTCACGGTAACTGGTTATGGTCTCTACTTGCGGCGGGAGAACAAGGTGAAGGAGCAAATTATCAGTGGAGAGAGAGAAGAGACTCGACGAGTCCAGACGGGGGATGGAGAACTGGAATTCAAATATATCTACTAGGTCAACTTTGATGTAACCGGGACGAAATATAATCTCCGGAGGAATTTACGCTATCGCAAACCCAAATACAGCCTTGGATGTTCTCAATTTCGATCTCTGCCACCTATGATGATCAAAGTCGCATATATAATTGCTCAGTAGATGTTACACGTAATCAGAAGAAATCCTTCATCACGCTGGACAATTCTTCACCATAGTCAAATACAAACCCCCCCGTTGGGCATCTGCTGGTAAGGTCCTCCATCTGCCATAGGGCCCGTTCCCATCCCCATGATTTGATCCTCCAGGTTTCCCACGGCTTCAAACCACTCCATCAACTCCTGTGTCATTTGTTCCCCGTCCTGCGGTGTCCGACTCTGGGTGCTGGCAGAGTGGGGCAATGCGGGAGAGCCGTGGACCTTCAAAGGTTCGCCTTCATCTCCCGCTTCGGTATCCAGGCGCTGTTTCTGGACCCCGAGGCCCAATTGAGGACTAAGCTTGCGGAGGCTTCGAATAGATTTCCATAATCGGCGAGAGATATAAGACTGGGATGATACTCCTTTGACTAGCTCCAGAGCCCGGTAAAACTCATCCTTACATGACCCACTGAATTGTGTCGGAGCCTGGGCTACTGCCAGGAACAAAGCCGCAAGGGCCGAGACGAGAAACCAATTAAATGCCACCTGCTGTAAATGGTAGATGTCTGATGTATCGTTCAAGCGGGTAATGAAGCGAATTGTATCTTTGGCAATTTCCACCACGATCTCGGACTCGCCGGGATATCGCATGACATGTGCTGAAGTATGAAGAACGGGACGGTGAATGAGCATACGCAGCTGATTGGCACGAAGATAAAGTAAGGCACGCAGTCTGCGCAGGCTCCGTGAGCCTTCCGTGGCAGTCTCAGACTCTGCAGAACTCGGATGATCGAGCCGCAACGAGTTTGGAATGGCATGCACCCAACGCAGTACCTGCCAATCCAAATAGTTCATCTCCTCCTTTTTGATTTCATTCGTGTTGTTAAATGCTGATATAAACTTCCATACCCTCGCTGCGATCCGGCTGTACTGAATCATCGCGCGCAGATAGGGTGTATTTTCGGCAGGCTCTGGCAGGCAAGGATCAATATCCGTATCTTCCAGGGCAAATGGCATGCCAGTCCCAAAGCTCCAGCGCATATCCAGAATGTATATAGACCAGAAGAGTCGCAGAACGCGATCCTTCCCCACAGCTAAGATGGCCGGTTGACTCAGGGTTTCCCGTCGATGAAGACCTTTTTCGAGGCACATGCGCTCAACAATACCAACGGTACGCCACGCCAAAATTTCCTCGTCCATTTGAAAATAGAACATTGACTATCGATAGAATTAGCATGTCGAGCATTCATGTTTGATCAGGCATGACGAACCACGAGAGTCAAAAATATGATGTTCTTGATTCTGGGCGGACCCCAGACACAATTGTCCTGAACCTCTCGTACACTGTCAAAAAGAGCAATAGCCTGTTCACTCCGACCACTGGCTTCGGCTGTCAATGCACACGCAAACACTACACGTAGAATGTGGACGTCTTCGCGAGGTAGTCCATTGTGTCCATCGGGCCGGCGGGCCGGACCAAGGGCGCGGTCCAGTGGGCCATAGAGAAGATGAACCTGGTCCAAAATCTCGGTAAGCTCTAGAACTGGGTACATAATGCCCATTTCCTCCTCATAGACTTGGCAAAGGCGAAGTGCCTCGGCTTTGGGTAGAATCCAAAGTGGATCGAGGGTCTGGTGCGTTTCAATTTTCTCATTTGGAGCCGACGGCGATGCCAGCGGTGAAGGTTCTTGGGTCATATCGCCCTCGTCGCCAGCTTCGGCACGTTCCACAATCCCCCGTTGCTGCAGACTGGATTTCGCGAGGTCGAAGCTAAAGGCGGACGTCGTGGGGCCTTGGAATGACGTCTCTCTAGCTGTTGACGGGCGCCTCGGTGAACGTTGGGCAGGGACCTGTCCACAAGTGCCGGTAGTGGAAGCACCTCCAGGAGAATGTTCGCTGCTGGCCATTGACCGAATGCTAGCAGAGAGCTGGGCAATCTGGTCCTGCATTGCCCTCATTTGGTCAAAAAGCCGCTTGAAGTTGCTTTAAATGTAAAATTAGTTTATTTCCAAACGCACCGAGCTGGCGTGGACATTACTCTTGTTCGGCGGGACTGTCTCGAGAATTCTCGACGTAAATGCACTCAATATGCTGTCGTCCGCACCGCTGACAGGGTGACTGGCCATTGCATTTGATTTTGCGACGTTTACATCCATTGCTTCACGATTTTGTTAGCACTCGATCTCGAAGAACTTTTCTTTTTCTTTCTTTCTCTTTCTTTTCAAACTGACCAGGCTTTGGCGATGTATTTGCGGCGTTTCTTTGGGCGATCATCATTTGTATCGTTTACTGTGGGATTATCCCAGCTATCTGGAACAGGATACATCTGCAGAGCATTCATCATCCAAAATGTTGTAATTTTAGTGCGATCAAATATTAGTTCCAGTCGATGAAACTGGGCGAAGGATGAAGGATGAAAAAGAATGTGGAGTCGAGAGAAAATGCGGGGCGATTCCGTCCCTCGGAGTACTCGGGGAGTTGTACGGAGTACTCTGGGGTACCTTTGGGCATATAAAAGGACATGATTGAGAAAATATCCAAGGAATCAACAGATAACTATTTCTAAATTTAATATCTCTAGGTCAAAGTCGACCATTATAAAGGTTCATCTGGTCTATATCTATCTATTTATATATATATTTATGTATATATTTATGTATATATGTCCATACTTCATCTTTTCATTTTCACTTATTTACTTATTTTAGTAGATACAAGACATGACCTCGAATGAATAGAGGAAATCACATGAAATAAAACTTTAAAAAAATCCAAAATACTCTCCTCTTAGAGATCCTTGGTGCGTTCATCGCTCTCGGCGATCCACTGCTCAAGCTTCTTAGGGTCGCGTGCGCTAAAGCCGACCTTGAATGGCTTTGGCTCGGTTGTCAAGGCTGTCGGAATCAAATTGCACTCAATTGCATTCAAAATGGGTCGGTCTGCCACGTCCTTCGCTGTGTGCATATGGAAAGCAGTTATGAGGCGGATAAAAGCAGTAAACAGCTCACGATTGGCGAGATGTGAGCCTGCACACATCCGTGATCCCGCTCCATATGCATAATGTGGGGTGCCTGCGCCCTCATTGACCTCCAAATAACGCTCCGGGATGAATTTATTGGCATCCTTGAAGTGATCTTCGTCATAATCGGCAGCCCAGGCATTCTAGAGGTTTCTGTTAGCAAACTCCAAATAGGACAGAAGCAAGGAGCAACATACCATGAAGAAAGTGGTGCCAGCAGGGATTGTGGCTCCATTCCACTGGATATCCTTGGTGCTCTCGCGTGGCAGACAAATAGGAATGACCGTCCAGAACCGCAAGATCTCCTTGACCAACGCAGTCACATAGGGGACCTTCTCCTCCACCAAGCATTTCTCCCAAGCATCCCCGTTCGGGTAAACCTCCATGATCGCATCATAGGCCTTTTTCTGAATTTTTTGGCCGTCTTCGGATGCCAGGTAGGCAATTCCCATAATCAAGTTACCCGGGACAGTGTCAAGACCAGCCGATACCATGGTCAAACAAATCGATTTCACCTCGGCTAGATGATAGATGAGTACTCACTTCCACGTGTACAGGGATCATTTGGAACTCACCATCGTTCAGCTTAGCCTCGGGATCCTTCAAGATATTACCAGTGATGCAAGGCTTATCGGTTCCTTTGGCGATCCGATCCTTGAGCATATCGAGCAAGTAGGTCAGATATTTATCACGGCGACTCCGGAAGTCTACAGCCTCATTGTTCATCTTGGGGAAGATGCGCAATAGGGGAATGTAATCCTGCCAGTTGTTCGAAGTGCTGCGGAAGTTGGACACGCCACGTTCTACATCCACAATTTCGTGCAGCAGTGTATCATCCACGTTGCCCTCGATGCGGAACCCATAGTTCAGAGTCAAACTGGTGTTCAGGGCGAAGCGCTGGAAATATGCGGTGGGATTCACGTCACGTTTGCCATTCTGGCTGTCCCGATACAGCTCTTTAATGCTGGAATTGGATTCAAGATCGATGATAGGCATATACGATTGCACTGCCGGTCGATTCAGCGCAGTGGCAGCGGCCTTGCGACGTTTCTTGCAGGAATCATCCCACGGGGAAGTTCCGATCGTGAACCCTTGTGAGCTGGAGACGACGCTGTGGAAGGTGTGGAAAGTTGGGCGGGAGATCAGAGCGGACGAGTCCTTAATCCATAATTGACGGACGGATTCAAAGCTGTTGGCAAACACGATGCGCTATGAGGGTATTAAATTCTAAATTCTGTATATATGCCTAGGTGGACATCTCCGGTTCTAAAGCGAAACACTTACCTTGTTTCCCATGCGCACTTGGAAAACAGGGCCAAATTTCTTTGCCCATTTCCCTGTGACTGTTGCATGCTGATCCCCTAACTGCAAGAGGTTGCCAAATATGGGGATGCCAGGAATCTCCGGGATGCCTTTAATCTTAGGGATATCGGTGCGGTTGAAATAACGAATGATGAAATAAACCACCGTGATAACGGCGACTGCAAGTGTTTGGATTGCCATGATCAAGTAAAAATTGACAAGAATTGCAGACTTTTGTGACTGGGAGACGGCGCATGCACCTCTTATAACCCCTCTACCTAGGTACATCCCAGGGTTCTTCTGTTTGGCTCGGCTACGGCATATTTCCGAGTGTAGAGACTCGCATGGGGAAAGAAAGCTGTTGTTGGTGACATAACATCACATTTAGCCAGTCAGAAGTGACAGAATTACCGCAAAGGCATTTTCTCATAGGTCAAACTACCTAGGTGTTCATCAAGTCTGGCGAGATGGTCTCCACTGCGCATTGACGGAATGATCATTCCGCCCCCTTGTTACTTTCCCGCGGAACAATGACACTTCAATTCCCGTTAATGTAATAGGATAATAGGATAATAGGGTAATAAGAAATACATTCGATTTCATTTCCACAATATATATATACATATAAATATATATATCTACCTTCTCTATCCCAAAGTCGAATATCATATGAACAATTTTGAAGGGCAAGCATGAGAGAGTTAGGTATATACGATGTACGAGTTATAACTAACTAGGTACATATGTATATTATGTAACACACTGTCGAAGATTGAAATTATTCTCAAAAGAGACAGAGTCAAAGAGACAGAGTCGGGGAAGATGAGAAGATGAAAGGAGGCTGAAGTATAGTCTCAAGACACTACTATGCTACTTTGGGCAAGTCCAACTTTTGAGCCTCATAGTTAACTATGTAGTGATAACTATGCAATGTGTACATGGATACATACACCATGGATAGGCAGTGTACCTATGACTCTATTATAGTTGACATCTCAATACTACATGTACATGTGTATGCAGTTAGAAGAAGTATACAATGGATATCTATCTCGACACCTAATCACCAAGGCATTAATCAGGTGACCATACGCGTCTTACATACTGGACAATAGAATCTAACGATCTACGAATAGCTTCACTTCTTCACTTCGGTGTACACCGGGTTGATGTCTTCCCAACCATTTCTCCCGCTATCCTCCTCTCCCGCATCCCTTTCACCCACTCTACGTCCGCGACGCCCAAGTCTAGAACCGGAACGTGAAATCCTTTCCACTAGAGGCCAACGCTTAGTGAACCTTTTACCCTCTCGTACATCTAGCCTTGCCTTGCATGATCTCGATGATGATATATCAGAAAGGCGACTTATTCTTCGACGCGGATCGTTATTGATTGGACGCAGTAATCCTCGATATGAATGGTACTGTCTCTCTCCCCTCTGACGCAATTCCAGTCCTAACCCGGGTCGCAGGCAACGCTACTACAAATCACCCGAGTCACTAAAAGATCTCCCAAAGGCAATGTTAGTCTAATGCTCATCTCAATCAACTAGGGACTGACTCCCAAAATAGTCGGAAATATCATGAACGAAACAATGGACTGATCTCCCAATATCTTTACATTGACCGACTACTGGACTCTTCACTGCCCCATAACCTGATCGAGGATTACAATGGATGCAATAACCAGAATTCGGGAACCAGAATTCTTCAACCGCCTGCGCTGGAAGATAATCAGGCCGAGACACCAGAACCCAACCCCAAGATTGGAAGGATCAAACGCACCCCGCATAATCTCTATCGGATTCCCGATGAGACAACACCCTTGGTCCAATCACCCGAGGCAGAAGACGGCCCATTAAATCCCTTCCCCGATCTTGAATCGCATGGCAGGATGGCGCCAGATGATGAGGAGCGCGTCATCAACCTGGCCATTCGCATCAATTTTGTCGCCAACATTGCTCTCCTAGCTTCCAAGATCGCTATCATGGCAATGACCAGCTCTATGTCTATGCTAGCAGGTCTAGTTGATGGGGTTTTGGACTTTCTTAGCACAGTGATTGTCTGGGTGACCACCATTATGATCCGCCGACAGGATCGCAACCGGTATCCTATCAGCCGACGGCGGTTAGAGCCCATCAGTGTGTTAATCTTCTCGGTGATCATGGTGACTTCCTTTTTCCAGGTAGCACTGTCGTCTCTCAAACAATTGATTGGGGATGACCGCACGGTTGTTGAGCTATCGATACCATCTATCGCATTGATGGGTGGTACTGTTTTGGTTAAGCTGCTCTGCTGGATCTGGTGCCGGTTGATTCCTAGCCCTAGCGTTCAAGTCTTGGCCCAGGATGCCATGACTGACGTTGTTTTCAACTCATTTAGCATCATCTTCCCACTAAGTAAGTCTTATTCCTGTTTCATATTCCTGCTCGCTACTAAGGACACCAACTAACTGGTAACAATCGCAGTTGGTACTGTTGCAAATCTCTGGTACCTAGATCCCTTGGGTGGCCTGCTCCTCTCCTTTTACATCATGTGGAACTGGGGTCAGACGGCTACAGAATACATCCAGCGGTTGACAGGTGCAGCTGCCTCTCCCGACGATCATAGCATTTTGCTGTATATGACCATGCGGTTCTCCAGAGTGATTCACAAGATTCAGGACTTGAAAGCCTATTACGCAAGTGACAAGCTGAACGTTGAGGTTGACCTTGTTGTGGATGAAAAGATCAGTTTACGAGACAGTCATGACGTTGGCGAGAGTTTGCAGTACATCATCGAAAGTGTGCCTACCGTCGACCGTGCTTTTGTGCATTTGGATTATGACGAGTGGAACCTGCCCAGCCATATGAACCAGATGGACCGGTAACACATGTCGGATGAGGGCACCAAGCCAATTTTTCACTTGGCATTATACATATTAAGTGTTAGATTTAACACTACAAACTTGTATAGATTCATTACATCAAGGTTTGACACATAAAAATCATTCATTTAATTATACATATAGACCATGATCAAATGAATATCCTCGCTGGCAAAGACGCCAGGACGCTAAACAAGAGAAAGAAACAGACGACAAATTAATGTACAACCGAACCCATTAGGGTCTTACACTCCACATGAATTTCATTCAAATCAATCGAGCCCGGGACCCTAGCGAGGAGGTTGCGAAGGCGGCGGTAGCCCGCCTTGCGCCGACCCATGGCTGTAGACACGGTGATGTGTCGGGGTGGAGACAGTGTCACCAAGCGATCCTGGGGGTCGTTGGTGGAGCGGTGGCATCGATCCGGGCGCGGTTGACTGGGGAGCATAGCCGCCGATGGTGCCTCCGCTCATAGAGGGGTGCAGAGCCGATGGAGGAGTGTATGAACGACCGAGGCTCGCCAGCGATGCCATTGACCGACCAGCTTGGGACTGGGGAGGAGGAGTGTTGTGCCCGTACTGGGAAGAAGCATTGGGTAGGTTGACCGGTGTTGAGCGGTGGGATTGCGGCTGATGTGACCCACTGACCATTGTTTGCACATGTTGTTGATAGCTGTGTTGCTGGACTGGATTTGGCGTTGCGGACTGACGCGGGTGCATACCATACAGGCTAGCCGAAGACTGTGCTGGCGTTGGTGGGTCTTGTCGCGATCCATATGCCATACTAGAACGCGGGCCAGGTGACGCTTGTCGATAGGAAGCCGGCTGTGAGGCCATATCTCGGGAGCCAGAGGCCATGGGTGGTTGAGCAGAGGCTTGGGAGAAGACGTTGGGATAGGCCGATCGTTGAGAGGCATTTGTTGGCGGGGGAGTCGGCGCTGGGGATGGCGCGGGAAGATTTGTCAAGGAAGATTGGCTCGGGGTTGCCGCGTAAGATGAATAAGAACCCTGGCGCCCGCGTTGCTGCTGCTGTGGTGGCAGGGATTGGGCTTGAGGCTGCGGTGGAGTTTGTTGCGCTCGTGGATCAAACCGTGCCATCCAGTCATTATTGGCTGACGTGCCCGAGCCACCATGAGGGGGCCCATAGCCAGGATACTCTGGGTAGCGAGACGATGGCTGATATTGGGTTTGCTGAGCGTAACTAGAAGGCTTTTGTGGCATACCTGACATAATAGTGTCTTCATGGCGAGGGGGTCCACTGGCCTGGTATACGGGCCTTGGATTTATGCCTGTGGTTGCGCCAGTGGAAGACAGAGTCTGCTCGCCGGCAAATCTTTTTCGCGGCTGGGGCTCTTCAGGTTCATCATTGAGGATGCTCATGATGTTAGATCGTTTGGCAGGTACTTGACGAGTTGCGTCTGGGGCAGGAGTAGCACTTGGGCGAGGGACATCCTTCACTGGGGACAACCCAGGGCGAGGCGACTGGGCTAGCCCCATAGGTTGGCCTGCGAGCGAGTAATAGGGTCTTTGGGCAAAGGGATCGCGGTGAACAGACGCAATGTCGAGTTCCGGTCTAAGCTGCTGGGTTGGCGAGCCGGGGGGCTGTGTTAAGCTGGGGTGACGTGAGTGGGTCGATGAAAGGAGAGAAGTTGGCTGCTGCGTGGGCATGTAGGTCTGTGCGGACAAAGGTTCCATTCGTGTCATATCCGATGGCATGGAGCCAGGATGGCGCGAGGAAATCGGTAGTTCTTGCGAGCGAGAAGTGGCATGGGGCAGTGTCGAAGAGTCTCGTCTTTCCTCTGTAAAATACCCAAGGCGTGGGCCCCCTTGGATGCGGTGGGATGGACCTCCCTGCGCGCGAATCGCGCGAGTCGACTCTTCAATTAGAGTTGCGGTAGAGGGCACTGGTGAAGCAGCGGAAGCCTGTGCCAGTGGCTGGTAGCGACCGGCATTCCGGTCCTTGTCGGACGGAGGTCGTCCATGCAGGGACATAGGCTGCGGTGAGACACCAACGGGCTTGCCTTTAGGGAATCGTATTTCATCGATCTCAGTCATAGGATCCCCATGGGGGGCAAGTGGACGAGGAATAATAGAAGACGGAGTGGCCTCGTATCGTCGCTTTGGCGCAACACTTGGAACAGGAAGCGGTCCTGTGGCTTCACCGCGAGCCTTTTTCTCCTCTGCGTCCGTTGCAATCAACTCAAAGTCTTTCTGGCCCGAGTCGAGGCGGCGCTGATAGAAGTTTTTGACCTGTATCATGCACGTTAGCCGGCTAGTCGCCAAACGAAAACAAGGGACATTGGGAAAGGCGGGGGAAGTAAGAGAAAACTTGGGACAAAAAAACCCAATACATACCATCACCGTTGTCTTGGTCTTCATCCAGGCCGAGATACCCTCGAAATCGCGACCAAAATGTCCCAGCAAGGCTGGGAAATCGCGCTGCTCCGGTACAGACCAGTAACTCGTTGGTTGCAAGGAGCCATACCCCGTCTCGAGCTGTTTAGCCGCCAGAGGCGGTTCAACTTCAGTAGACTCAAAGACATAAACCCCTTCTTTCGCTCGCCCGCGTCCCACCCTGCCTCGTGGCATTGGCGGTAAGGATTCTTTTTCGGAACGCTCTCGTTCCCTGGCCTCATACCCTTCCAAGATATGATCTGGGGCTAATTCCATTTCGCTTCCAGGATGAAGTGATGCTGGCGGTACAATCGGAGGCGGATCACCCTGTGGCACTGCAACCTGGGCCTTCGGATCCGGTTGAGCAGTGGTCTTCGCGCGCCGTCCACCGCGAGTACCTCCGCCCCGTCCGCCACGCCGAGTCGACGATCTTTCCACTGGTTCGCTGTCCTTGCCAAGTTGGCCCCGACGGCCAACTGGCGCGCTCTCTGCCTCGGCGGAATCCCCGAAAGTGGGCGCGGCTGCGCGTCGTGGACGACCGGTGTCTGTGACAGCTGGAGGCTCCTCCTCCCCAACAAAATCAGGTTTTACCACACCCAAGTCTGCGATGAGGGCGTTGGACTTCGGTCGTGGACCCTTTCGAGTCCCCTTGCCCCGCTTACTCCAGCGCTGGTTGAGCTTGGCCTTGTACTTAATCTCCTCCTTGGTGAGGTAATAGTGTACGATACACTGCTGGAAATTTCGACCAGGCAAAGATTCGGCAATTTTGCCCCACCGTTTTGGATGGGCCATGAAAGCGTCTGTAAAGATGATATGCTCCTCTGGGGTGAAGTCATTAGGGGGCGGCACAAAGCCGAAAACATCCAGAGCCCTGTCACACTCAATGGTGTTGTTCACATCTTTGTAGATGCGAGCCTTTACCTCCCGCGGTTCGAGCATATTCGGAATGATTGCTTCACGGCCCAAGTCGGGCCGAGCAGTAGCCATCTTGATTCGTCGACGTTCAAGCTCTTCTTGGGCGGAGATTTCGGAGGCCTTCAAAGCATTGAGAAAATCGAGCTCACTGTTTCCCTTGTATCGACGACCTTCACGGCCTTCTGGCATGGGCGCCGGAGTAGTTGGAGCCGTGGACGCTGGGAGAGAAGTTGGACCGGGGGTCATGGACTTTTTGTCCTTCATACGATCGAGCTCCCAAATAGCCATTCGCCAGAGCTTGTAGTGAGACACATACTCATCCCTAAGAAGTGTGTTTTTCCTGAAAGCCTCCGCTTGGACCTTTGAAAGTTCTGTGCTGAACGTGTCTCTGAGATGATTTTGGGTTGCAATGTTCTCATGGTATACATCCAAATCTGAGATGGGCGTTGGGGGACCCGACCGCAAGAATGGAAGACCTTCGACAGTAACCTCAGCAGGGGGTACCACGGGGGGGATGATAGTTTCCACGATTGGCTCTGGTTCGCGCCCAGGAAGTGTGGAAGCAAAAGAGACCACTCGTTCAGTGCTTGGATGATTGGTTACCTCATCGTCCTCTACTGAAGGCAAAGGATCCACTGGTCGATCTAACACTTGTTCGGCGCGAGGTTTGGGAGGGTGCTCAACCGTCTGTTCGTTGGCTACCATTCCAAGTAGCTGGATTTTAATCAAAAGAGCAACGATAGCCGAATCTTCCAAAGGTGATGGAGGCAATTCTGCTCGGAGTGACTCCATATCCTTTTCAAAGATCCGCTTTCTTTCATCAAGATACTCTTGCGTGAAAACAATGTTCTCCCCATCTTCCTCGTCACTTGAACCTTCAAAGTCTGGTATCAAGGCAGGTTTATCAGTGCCGCCCTGCTCGGAGGGTTCATTGACATCGGCTGTTTGAATGTCGGCGGCCGATGAACTGCGCCGGAGTGGGAGGGTCAATGATGGGGAAACAGGTGAGGGCTCTGTCGCAGGCTCATGGGGGAGAATTTCGCCACTCTCAGGCTCGTCTGTCTCAGGTGGTAATAAAGAGCGCGTGACTTCATTGGAAGGGGAAACGCCTTCGCTCTCGTCAATAGGCTCTTGTTTGGGCAGTGCATTAGGAAGAGAAGGTGTGCGGCCGTAGCCAGGTCGCACCCATTGTTTACTACCTTTACGGCCACGAGGGGAGGGAGCCTTCCATTGCAATGCTCGAGGGCCAGTTGGAATGTTGGACGATTTCATTCGAGGCGACATCGAGGGCTCACGGGATAATGCGCGTGGAGCAGGAGGTGGAATTCGTGCGAAAGTGGGGGAAGAGGTGAGTGAGTTCGACCTCCCGGCCCCAAATCCTTCGTTCGGTCCTATCCCAGAGTCTGGTCGAGTCATTGCAGCTGGAGCAGTGGGTGGTGAGCCATCAGGGAAATTGATAGACGGTTTAGAGAGGCGAGGAGGCGCAACTTGCTGTTTTCCAGCCTCCCGGGGTCCTTCAAGGCGGCTGCGAGGCTCAAAAGGCTGTGTGATCTCAGTCCTTTCCGCCTTGGGCCCTGTAGGAGGTTGGGCTGGCTGGTGTTGCGGAACTTCATAGCGGTCTCTCTCTGTGTGGAATGAAGAGATAGGCTCCGTGCGTGGATCTGAAGAATCTTTATTTACGGATGCATTCGTGATGGGGGCAGTCACCGAGCCAAAGGCAGGTACCTGGGGGGCGGCTGGAGGTGGTGAGTTCCGAGTGATAGGCCCAGGGCTCTTCATGGCGTCAGGGCGGACGGCGTCCGGTCGGGGAGCATCCGGTCGAGTATCAGGGTGAGGAGCATCCAGGCGAGGAGAATCCTGTCGAGCATCGGGGCGAACAGAATCCAGTCGAGTAGGTTCAGGTCGAGTAGGTTCAGGTCGAGTAGGTTCAGGTCGAGTAGGTTCAGGTCGAGTAGGTTCAGGTCGAGTAGGTTCAGGTCGAGTAGGTTCAGGTCGAGTAGGTTCAGATCGAGTAGGTTCAGGTCGAGTAGGTTCAGGTCGAACGGCATCGGGCCGAGTAAGATCAGGTCGAGCATCAGGGCGAACAGAGTCCAGTCGGTTAGGATCAGGTCGAACGGCATCAGGTCGAGCGGGATCAGGTCGAGCGGGATCAGGTCGAGCGGGATCAGGCCGAACAGCATCAGGCCGACTAGGATCAGGCCGACTAGGATCAGGCCGACTAGGATCAGGCCGACTAGGATCAGGCCGACTAGGATCAGGTCGACTAGGATCAGGTCGAATAGCACTACTTCGAACACCGACTGGGTCGTTTCGCTCGGAATCTCGCGTAGGTTCCAGAGCCGCAGTGCTGGGAATGGTTGAAGGTTTCCGACCATGATCCACTTGGGGATGGTCAGACAGGCGATCTCCTAGGGCGGGTGCAGGTCCAGGGCCGGGAGCTGTAGGAGGATGTGAGGAAGTGGTTGAACCGCTGGCTGCGCGGCTATCTGCTCGACTTGGGGGGCGGTCTCGTTTCCAAAAGTCCACTGGGCGATCACGGTCCTCGCGATCGGGTCGTCGGTTGTCCCAATCTTCGCGGCGGTCAAAGCGATCTCGACGGTCCAAGTCGCGATCTAATTCTCGATCTCGATCTCTCGGGCGTGGAAGGTCTCTGTCACGATCTCGGTCCATCATCCGATCACGATCTAATACACGATCCCGGTCCATGTCTCGATCTCTATCGCGATCCACCATCCGATCACGTCCACGCCACGGTTCGCGGGATCGACTGCGGCGACGGAAAAGATCACGATCATCGAGGAAGGGTGGACGACCACGACCGCGGCCTCCATCCCAATCACCGCGACCGCGTCCTCGCATGCCTCCACGGTGTATATGGCCACCATTAGGCGGGGGACCTTCTGGGCCTCCCGAAGATGCGGATATGATACTATCCCTCGAGTTACGTCGCATCCGAACCAGATCAAAATCGCGGCCTGGGAGCTCCCTTATATCCCGAAAGTCGCGTGTCGGGGATCTTGAGCGGCCTCGGCCAAAACCAATCCGATTGTCTCGGGGATCGAAATCACGATCGCGGCGAACCCAGTCCCGGTCCAGATCTCGGCGAAAGGGTGGTCCATCACGGTTATCTCGAAAGTCACGATCTCGGTCGCGGTCTCGTGGGTCTCGGTCACGAAAGTCACCACGACCATAACCCCTACCACGACCACCAAAATGGCCTCCACGAGGGGAATCAACAAGAGCCCGAGGACCACGCGGTGGATCTCTACCAAATGGTGTAGGTCCGTCGTCAGGACCACGAGGACCAACCGGGGGGCGACGGTCTCCAAATCGCTGCGGAGAACGGTCACGGGAATTGAACCCGGACGATGGGGGGAATCGGGAGGACATTATCGCGTCATGCTATCATGAAGCTATAGACTGGTTAGCGCTCCAGCACGTTCAATGTACAGTGCAAATGAGCCCAAGGCAGTTGGTATGCAGAATCCATCACATACTCAAAGATGGAGAACGGACACTCGGGAGGGTCTGCACGTGACAAGAAATGCACGGACCATATGAAGAATTGAAGAGCACGGATACCCGATCGGGTAAGGCGTAGTCTTGTTCAAGTTGGGAAGGAAAAAGATCCAGTATCACCTGGGCACGTTCTTTTTTTTTTTTTTTTCTTTTCAGGATTGCTAGGTTTGAGTCTTGTTAGATCAGACCAAAATGGATCATTCAAGTTGACAGACTGACAGATTCGAAGATAAGGAGATTGAACGTGGAAAACAGGAACCACTAGCACGTTGACAAGATCGGCGAAATCATGCGAGCTCCTTGCGCCGGATATTATGCAACACAAGAGTGATATGGGGGATGGAGAAATCGAGGTGGAGACCAAGCAGGAATATGAAGGAATATGTAGAAATAAGTTAGGAATATGTTTTGGAAGATGCGTTCGTGAGACTTCAAGGGGCTCGGCACTAACCCAGTTGAACTTTAGTGTGGTGGGGATGTGCCTCCTAAACTCTATCCACATTGAATGTCCAGGTGTTGTAGAAGAAAATATGTACATACATATATATATGTAGAAGTATAGATAATTATCGAGAAATAGAGAAATCCGTAGGAAGGATTAGAGTAGTAGAAATAGAACATTGAATATATGAGACTCTTTCATCATATAGACATATAGGCCAATGGTACAAAGGTACAGTGGTACTATGTATACAAGTAGTTAAATAGAGAAATATGCCTTAGGCAAAAAGGCACCAAGGCATTAAGGCACCAAGGCCCAGACTGATGCGGTTCCCCGCCGAATCCAAAAAAAAAAAAAAGATCAACTGCCCCTCTCTTTGGACTCCATACAAACTGATATTTTTTTGTTTATTTTCTTGTCTTCTCATCTCGCTAGACCATTTTGAACAGATTTATCTAGACTTTCTACCATTCTTCCTCTCTTTCTTCTCTTTCCTTCCCTCCCAATCCCATCGCAAATATGAGCGCCAAGCAGCTTTCGGCAGTCCCCTCCTCGGTGACCGACTCCGTCCTCCAGAGCTCGCAACCGGTCCCAGAGGGATCTCACGTAGTGAGCGGGGTGGATTTTGATAAGTTTCAAGGACGGGATATCACCGTCGCAGAGATGGTGGACAACTTGGCCCATACCGGTTTCCAGGGCAGTGCAGTCGCAGAGGCTGCTAAAATCATTAATGAAATGGTACGCCTGAGCATAACTGTCAATCTTTGAATCCTGGAATCCTTAGGGGCTGATGATCTGTTTCCGTTAGCGCGCTTTCCGTGATCCCGAAACGGGAAACAAAACTACCATCTTCCTCGGCTATACATCGAACTTGATCTCGTCCGGTCTTCGAGATACCCTACGTTATTTGGTGAAGCATAACCATGTATCCGCCATTGTGACCACTGCTGGAGGTGTGGAGGAGGATTTGATCAAATGTTTGGCCCCTACATATCTCGGATCATTCTCGACTCCCGGTGCTGGACTTCGTGCCAAGGGCCTCAACCGTATTGGCAACCTTCTCGTGCCCAACAATAACTATTGTGCTTTCGAGGACTGGGTGGTGCCCATTTTGGACAAAATGTTGGAGGAGCAGGAGGCTGCAAAGATTAAGGCTCGGGAAACGGGAGATGAGGAAGACGAGCTTCACTGGACGCCAAGCCGCATCACCGAACGACTGGGTCGTGAGATCGACCACGAGGATTCAGTTCTGTACTGGGCGGCCCGGAATGGAATCCCGGTATTCTGTCCCGCCCTGACAGATGGATCTCTGGGTGACATGCTTTACTTCCACACCTACAAGTCTTCCCCGCAACGACTCCGGGTGGATATTGTGGATGATGTGCGCCGCATCAACACCATGGCTGTCCGGGCAACCCGTGCCGGCATGATCATCTTGGGCGGTGGGGTCGTCAAGCACCATATCGCCAATGCATGCCTGATGCGCAATGGGGCCGAGCATGCGGTGTATGTGAATACTGCGCAGGAGTTCGATGGCAGTGATGCGGGTGCGCGGCCGGATGAAGCGGTGAGCTGGGGCAAGATCAAGACGGATGCCAAGTCTGTCAAGGTGAGTTGATCTATTGTTCTCTTTCCTATTTCGTTATTCGTTGGGCCCAAGCTAACTTTTATATTTTCTTTTTTAGGTCTATGCTGAGGCCACGGCGGTATTCCCTATGATTGTGGCTGCTTCATTTGCTCGTGCCGAATCGACCTAAAATTGATTTCGCTTTTATATCTCGAGTCTCGGTAAGACGGGACTGATTGCCAAGCAATGCGAGAACCCGCGGTCTAGAAATGGTTTCTTTTTCAAAGAGCCAATCAGTATCGCCCACCGCCCAAAAGTGATCCATTTTGAGTCAATCAAGGGTCTTTGATTGCGCAATTGTTTCAAGATAGGATTGGCTCCCGTACATTGTACCATCCGGTCGGTCTCTGTACAGGCGGTATAGGTACGTTGATCGGCCTGATACGCTTATATGCCTAATGTGCCTGATATGCCTGAAAACACAACAGTTTTCCGAGGCTCCCCGATAACCAGGGATAGAAATTCCCAGTGGCAAATGGGGAGAAATTGAGCCGAGTCGCCACCCAATGTTCCAAAATTGGCATTTCCAAGGTTAAGAATATTCCCCCTGAGTGGGTATCAGGATCGGCACACCGCTAGACTTCAGTCCGGTATATAGCACTGTACAGGGTGTAGAAGTTGAATGTTAGAATACAGATCCCTGATATAAAGGGCTCCAAGCCTATATCGTAGGTAGTCAGTAGTATATGTATGGATGCATATACCTAGGTCCTCTTGGGTCCTCTATAGTTTATAGGCCCTAGACCATCGTATGTTGTATACAAAGACCCACTCGGCAACTTCCCCCGGACTCGTTCTCTTTTTTCTTATCTTTTTTCGTTTTTTCTTTTTCGTCTTTTTCGTTCTTTTCGTCTTTTTCAATTTCTTTTTTTTTTTTTTCCCTATCCCCGACTTTTCTTCTTCTCTTCTCTTCTCTTTCTTCTTCTTCTTCCCCCTTATTCTGTAATTCATTCGTTTTCTTTTCTTTCTCAACCTAGATATCTCCCGGACCCCTTCTCCCCACATCTCCAGGGCTCCGCAACCTTCTTCTTATCCGATAAGCCCTTATCAATACTTACACCCGGGGACAGTTGGGAAGATACAACTTGCTTGCGCTTTATATATTGCTGAAGGACATTCGTCGGAATTGTTTGGGGGGGGTTCCAAATTCGCAGGCCATGGATCCCTTACCAAATTCAGTAGTCTCTGGGAATGAAGAGGGGGATACAACGAGAACGGCAAATACAGAGACCGAGTCATTAAACCAATCCTCCGAATCGTCACCTCCAACTCCCCACCCAGTGACAATCTTGCCCTCGGAAGAACTGGAACATGCATATTGGGCAGAGTACGAGGAGGATACAACCATCCCAGATGAAGACGAGATGAAAGAGATCGACGGCGGCGATTCGGATTACAGTGCCAGTGATCGTAGGTTAATTGTATAAACAAATCCACAGAACATACAGTATTTACTAACCCCATAACAGACAAATATTGGGAAACCAACTTCTTTCGGGATTTGGAAGATCCCGAGTACATTCCCACTGAAAAGGCCCGCCTTACGTGGACGTTCAAGGGCGTTCGGGGCACCCCTGATAACCCCAATCGTGAAAAAGTCATTCGCTCCCCACCAGCATTTGTTGGGGGATATTGGTGGCGAATCAAGTTCTACCCTCGAGGAAACAATGTCAATGCATTGAGTGTCTACCTCGAATGCTCCACCATAATGCCTGCTCCAGAGGGCAAGCTTCCTGAGACGGAATTTACGGTCCGTCGGGGCGCAGCCGATGCCTCACTGGATGATAGCGCCCCGGAGATTCAAATACAGACGGGAGCCACGGACGACTCGATGGCGTGGTTTGAAAATTACAAGTCTCAATATCCTGCGACCAGGAACAACACCCAATCCGATCATGGAGCGTTGGACTCTTGGCGTGTTCCCGCACAAGTTGGTGTCATTGTATACAACCCACAAGAGCCACGCACTGGGTGGATGCAGTCTTCCTGCCATCAATTCAACGCTCATAACCTGGATTGGGGGTGGACATATTTTCACGGTCCATGGGACCAAATCCATTCACGCCGGCGAGGTCAACACCGTGCCCTCCTGAACGACGATACTCTCTCGTTTGACGCATACATTCGTGTAGTGAACGACCCCACCAAGTCCCTCTGGTGGCACCCGAGTGATTCCGAGCCAACTTGGGACAGCATGGCCTTGACCGGATACCGGCCTCTGGGTGACTCAATCATCAATCACAGCCCAGAGGTAGCCGGGCTAGCCTCGTGGCTACACATTGCTCCATTTTGCAAGATCATTCAAAGTATTGACGTACTTGAACATCTTACTACTCCCGATGCTAGGCCGAAGCCTCTATGTGATGCTCTTCAACGGCTTCTGTGGCAGCTTCGCTGCCAGACACTCTCCCCGAGCTATGTTGATACTGACGGCGTGACGAGCACTTTGCGCAATCTGCATGAGTTTTCGAGCGATGTGTCCGAATTTTGGGAGCGCCTGCGTCGCAACTTGGAGCTAGAGCTAAAGGGAACGGATGCCGGCAAACAATTCGCCCATCTCTTCGACAGTCCCGTTGTATATGCTCCTTCTGATGGTGAAGCCACCGTCAACCTGCTGCCCACTGACTTTAACTCGCGACTTTACATACCAGTCGATCAAGCCAAGTCTACCTCTGAAGCCGTTGGTGAATATTTGAGCGCTAAGCCCGGTCGTTGGTCGCTTCCGTCACTTCTCCATGTGGAGTTTGGCCGCCATACTCTGGACAAGGCCAAACGTTGGCAGCTGCGGTATGACAAAGTGGAGCTGAACGAGGAACTAAACCTAGCTCCGTGGGTGGTTGATGGCCAGGATAGCAAATATGTCCTTTATGGCTATATCGTTCATCGTGGGCGTCGCACGTCGGGCAAGTTCTTTAGCATCCTTCGCCCGGCAGGTCCGGGTACCACATGGCTAGCCTTTGACGATGGTAGTGATAACCGCGTGGAGTGCTTGACCCAGAAAACAGCCATGGGTCCACACCTTGGTCTGGATCCTTCCCAGGCTGTGGATCACAAGAAGGGCCATGACGTACCTGTCGTGGCAATGTATATCCGCAAAGATATGATATCGGAGCTGTTGCCTGGTCCCCAGGGGCCTTGGGAAGTTTCTGAGACCTTGAAACAATATTTTGAAACAGGCGTGTACCACACTGGTGACAAGCCTGCAGATGATGTCCAAGTTGAGGTTTATTCGCTTCCCCAATATGACCAGCTGCCCAGCCTGTTTGACTCCTACGATCTCATGGCACAGGCCAAAGCGGCAAACAGTGTCATGTACATCACTTTGCCCCGCTCATCACGTTTGGCAGAACTACGCAAAAGAATTGCTATTTGGAAGTCCTCAGGCTCTGACCCCATTGGTCCCGAGCGGGTTCGTTTCTGGCAAATCGGGAACTCCTTTGCTCAACCTGGATCATCGTTGGCGTTTGATCGCACTATGGATTTGAATGTTCCACTGGATCCTTCATTGGGCACCATACGGTTCTGGATGGAAACCATATCAGAGGGTACGTGATTGCATTTACATTTATTTATAACCATCACCCCGCTAATCTCCAGCAGAGGACGCTCAATTTTTCGCCATTCCAGACCTCCCTGCGGTTACCGCTTCAGAGGATAAGCCGGATGACCTGGTCATCGACAACCCGATACACGAAGCTTCTGAAAATGCCTCATCTGTGGCCGAAGGAGATGCCGTGGCTAGCTCGTCGGGAAATTCTCACCATGAGGATCCTAATGCGTCGGATACCGTCAACTCTATCATTGATGATATATCACTGCCTCCATTAACCACATTGTCTTTAGAGAATGATGCCACTGCTACTGAAAGGACAGACCAGGAAGTGGTGTTCGCTGCTGTCGCTACCCATGAGCAACAAGACATGGCTGCTGTTACGGCAACTCCGTCGACAGAAGCCACAAGCTCCGCTCCTATATCACCTTCCGAGGATGAATCTTCTACACGAGAAGTGGTAGCTCAAACACAGACTGAACCTGAGCTCAAGTTGCCTGTTGGCCATACATACTACTTCATTCAAATCTTCGATGCGGACAATCAAGTGCTTCGTACCGTGGGGTCATTTTTCTCCAAGCTTGATGCCAATGTCAAAGTGTCCATCCGACGACACTTACGGCGGCCTCTTCGTCAAGACTTCCTCATGTGGAAACGAGTCGATGGTGCTGCTGTTACCGCTGTGTCGCCTGCTGACAGCTTCGATGATGTGGTAGCTCCGCACGGAGCATGTTTCATCGTCGGGGATAAGTTGACCAAGGACAAGTAAGTACATACATATCTGGTTTTTCAATGTTTAGTTCTTTGGTTCTAACAGAAGACAGGCGTAATCAACTTGCTTCATCGGGATTGTTCACCAGTCCGGACCGTCTGGTTCAGTACCTGTGGGCCGATTCCCGTGGTCATCCAATCCAAGGTTTTACTGGCACTAAGACCATTGAAGCCACTTTCACAAATGACTACTACAGTGGTCAATTCTTGAAGGGTTATCACCACGGTAGAGGCAAGCACATCTCTAGCACAGGCATGATATACGAAGGCGACTTCGTCTTTGGCCGACGCCACGGCCAAGGCAAGCTAATTTACCCTACCGGTGACTCATATGACGGTGATTGGTTTGAAGATGTATGCCATGGACAGGGTACTTACATTGAGAAGACGACAGGCAACAGATATGTCGGCGGTTTCAAGGATGGCAAACGCCACGGCAAGGGCATTAGCTACTGGGAGGTGGCCGACGCAGAGTTGGATCTGTGCCAAATCTGTTACACTGAAGAAATGGATGCAGTCTTTGCCGAGTGTGGTCACCTTTGTTCCTGCGTGACTTGTGCGAACCTCGTGAGCCTGTGTCCGATGTGCCGCAAAGAGGTCAAGAAGGTGATCAAGATTTATCGGGCATAGAGTATTGGAGTATAGACGGGATGTTCCCAACTTGGTTTTACTTGGTTTTTCAGCACTTACATTGATTGGTTTTAGCGAACGGTGATTTAGGATATGTGGGGGAGTGATGCGATTGATTTTATATATACTCCCGAGCTCTCATTTTTTGGGGTTTATATATGTACACATACTACTGATATATTTAGATTGTTGAATACATATTACAGAAGAACCAATTCTTATATATGTAACTACAGAGTTCATGTATAACTACATAGTTAATTATGGTCTCTATACTTGACAATGTAGGACTCGGATAATATGAATATCTTTGATTTAACACAATCACCTTACATCAAATTGTTTTGTTTTTACTCTTTTTTTGTTATTTTATTTTAAACACAGTTTGATCTTAATTGAACAAAAGGTATATCCAATGCGCCGGGTCCCGGACCTAATACATGATGCTTTTGACTTGCCCGAAGAACGAAAAACGAAGAATTATACACAAGCGATACATGATCAAGGCATTGATCATTTGCTAGCCTTCTTGGCCGACTTCTTATCCTTCTTCTCAACCTTGCCCTTGGTCGCAGTCTTCTTCTCCTCCTTGGCCTTGCTGGCAGGCTTCTTATCTTCCTTAACCACAGTCTTCTTTGAGCCAACGGTCTTGGTCTCTTCTTCCTGGCTTGGCGTCACCGTTTCGGTTGTCTTCTCTGACACCTCTACCTTGCTCTTCTTGGGCTTGTTCAGAACACCCTTAGGGTTGAGACCCTTGCGACGCAGACGGTTGCGCTCGGCACGAGCGATACGCTCAACGTCCTCGGGATCCTCGAATGAGCTGAAAGCGCCACCCTCGAAATCAGCGGCGTGTCCATTCTCATCAACAATTGGGGTCTTGTCAATGGACTCGTCGTCCGTGGAGGCAGCTGAAGAAACACTACGAGACTTCTTGGGACCCTTGGAACGGGGTTCGGTATCATCCGACTTGGCCACAGGGGTCACGGCAGTCTTCTTGAGCTTGCAGACATAGAAACCGTCAACGTTCTCGCGGTGAGGGAAGTAACGGCGGGTGAGTGCCATCTTGGGATCGAAAGTCTTGCCCATATAGCTGAGGAATCCAGGGCTACCGAAGCTACCAAGACCGGTGTCCACGATCTTGACATTGGGACGCTTGCGAAGCACATATTGCACAACAGCCTCGTTCTCTTCCACCGTCACACTGCAAGTAGAGTAGACAACATATCCACCGGTCTTGGAGGCATGGTCAACGGAATCAATTGCAGCCAAAAGAAGCTGGCGCTGCATGTGGGGAATAGCGAGGAAATCACGCTCGTTCTTGGAGGTCTTAACACCGGGATCCTTCGAGATGACACCAGTACCGGTGCAAGGAGCATCAAGCAGAACACGATCGAAGCCACCCATGGCCTTGGGGAAAGCAGTGCGGGCATCCATGTTCGTCACAATGGTGTTCTTGCAGCCGAGACGGTGAATGTTACCAATCAAACCCTTGGCACGGGGCTTGCTGGCATCGTTTGCGACGACACAGCCAGTGTTGCGCATCAGGGCAGACATGTATGTTGTCTTACCACCGGGGGCAGAGGCCATATCGAGGACACGCTCATTAGGCTGGGGTGCGAGAGCCATGACGGGAAGGAAAGAAGAGGCAGCCTGGAGAATATAGTGACCGGCGAGGTACTCGGGGGTGGCACCCAGGGGAACCGGAGACTCGAAAACTTGCAGGCCAACCTTGGACCATTTGCCAACGGGCTCGAGGACAACACCACGGTTGATGAGGGCCTGGGCGAGGGAGCGGCGGTTGGTTCGTAGAGTGTTGGTACGGATTACGACAGGTCGAGGAGTCTCGTTAGCTTCGAAGAAGGCAAAGGCCTCCCTGGGGGTGAACAGGTTGAACAGCTTCTCGGCCAGGAATCGAGTGTAGCCGTAGTATGTGCAGATGTCGTCGAGCAGGAGATCGATATAGTCGGTACGCGACTTACCGGGCAGGCCGAGGGTCTTCAGGTCACCCAGGATTCGAATGGTGTCTGTGATGCGTTGGCGAAGCAGCTGCAGATCGGGAGCGAGTCCCTGCTGGGTTTGGTCGGCAAACACATCGGGTGCAGCGATGTTGGTCTGCAGAGCAGCTTCCCTGCATTTCCTGCTCAGCGGCTTCCTCCTCCTCTTGTTGTTCAGCATCCAACTTCCGCGACAGACCCTCGATGTTTGCGGCGGTCAATCTCTCTTCGGCATCGGAGTCCTCGTCGTCGGAGAACATGGCTCCACGGGTGTGGCCCTCCTCGTCAGAATCGACAACTGAGTTGTCATCCTCTAGGTCTGACAGTCCTTCAACCTCATCGTCGCTATCCATTGAGCCTTCACTGATTCCATCAAGATCACCGAACTCATCATCATCTTCCATATCCTCATCATCATCAGACATAGGCACAGGCACAGGCACGGCCTTCTTTGTGGCCGACGGTTGCTTCTTAGATTCCTTGGAATCGGCCTTGGGAGTAGCACCATTGACCTTCTTCTTCTTTGGGACTTCCTTTTTCGAGGCAGCCTCATCGGCGTCAGATCTGCGACGCTTTGCTGGTGCAGGCTTCGGAGGCGCCTCAGCCCCGCCAGCCTTGCGTTTCTTAAGCATTGTAATTTTTGACTCGTCGAGCGGGGCCGGAGGGCCCTGCTTCTTCATACGGCGACCGACACCCATTGTGAAAAAGTGGTGTGTATGGGGACGTTAATGGTGTTTGCTTTCTGGGGGGAGCTTGTAGATTCTTTCCGTCTTTTTTTTTTTTTTCTTCGGGCGGTGACATTCGGCAATACAGAAGTTATGAAAAGCGGTGTACTAACTATTTCCAATTCATGCCTTATAGTTCAGGTGTCTATTGTCCCAGCGGCATCAAGTGAACACCCAGGTCCAGGCCTCCACTACTCCAGACTCCAACAACCATCGCCTTGGGTTTGCTTTCTCTTTCTCTCTCTTTCGCCTCAAGAATCCATACCAGCTAGTCTAAATTGCTCACCATGTCGGAGCTGAGCTTCACTAAATCATTCTTGTCCACGCTGGACTCGCGGCCTATCAAGCTTCGTGCTGATCATGTCTTCGACCCAGAACAAATTGGACTACGAGTACCCGTGAGTGTTGATGCGAACAAACCCTACCTTAAATTACCGTTGAGGATCATTCTAATATGCCTTCCAAAAACGACAGTACACGCTCCCCCGCCTTTCAGCCCCTCACCCTCCGATGCCAAAAAAAGTGAGGTCAACACAGGCACCAGGCTCATCCAAATCAACCACTGTTCGCGTCAAGTCTGCCCGTAACCCTGCTCTGGAATTCCTAATCTCCAATGCCCCTCTCTCAACCACCTCAGTCCAGGATATCCGGGATGCTGTGCAAGTACGTGTCACCGATGCGCAGGGTGGTCAAGTTCCGCTAGACAAGATCAAGATCCTATACAAACGGAAGCCAGTGACTGGTACCGGGAAGACATTGGCCGAGATATTGGCAGATGAACCCATAATTCTGGCGGGAGGCAAAGAAGTCGAGATCGGAGTGATGATCATCGGTGGCGCCCAGGTGGTTGAATCTGCTGTGGCTCAACCGGAGATTGCAGAGAAGCGGGATGAATCACCTCCTAAGGCTGCTATAGGTCCGAGTGGTGAGGAAGTGTTGCATACGGAGGCTTTCTGGGATGATCTGCAAGGCTATCTCGAGCAGCGATTGAAGGACGAGGAAGAAGCAAAGCGATTGAGAGTTGTGTTCAAAGAGGCGTGGAGCTCAGCGAAGTAGAGTATATCTCCACGACATCGCAGCGAAATAATGTCAACATCAAATGATACCTGTATTTGTTCCGGTCATTTCACATATGTCCCGAGTCTATGATAGTCTAACAAGGCAGAGTCTGCTCGATGAATGGTATGGATTCAAATGTTATACACACAACATGAGCTATCAGTGTCTAAGGCACAAGCTACATAGGCACATTCAAGCAGAACGGAAAAGAAAGAAACCATCCACACCAAGGAACCGATACATCAAATATCGGGATCAATCCAAGGCCTATCAGGCACTCCTTGAAACCCAGTGAAGGCCTCATGGCAAGAGCTAATAGCACAATATTCGAACAAGATATGCTCAATTTCCCATAGAAAGTAGAGCATGTACCGAAACAGTTGAAGGGAAGAAAACATCCACGCACGCCAGGGAATCTTTGTCGAACATGTTATGAGCGAAGTAAAAAGTACACATGTTGAAAAAAGAAATGGGCAAAAAGCAAATCACGTAGGAGAGTATCATAGGCCACACAGCGTCGGTGAACACGGTTGCAAATGCTCAAAAGAACTGGTCCGGCCAATCGCTCATCCAGTTCATGGGATCATACAGAAAACGACGAGCAGACGCGAAGAGACACACACACACACAGGTATAACGCAAGAAGAATCATACACGGGTTTTCATTCCGTCGTTTCAATCATCGGGAGCAGACCTTGACCACGCCGTCTCCACCACCGCCAGCGACCCAGTGGCCATCACTGCTCCATACCACGGCACAGACTCCTTCGCCACGCATCAGCCGGTAGCCTGTCAGCTCCTGGGTACAGCTGCGCTTTTCAAGATTCCAGAATCGCAAGCTTGCATCATGGCCAGCTGAAACGAGCTCACGTCCATCTGGAGATAATGACAGTGAGGCTATCGCAGCAGGATGAGCAAGCATTGTGTATGTACATTGTCCTGTATCAAACATTAGCGTATTGTGGGGGGGAAGCAAGGTCCTTTGCATGCCACTTACCACTATTGGCATCAAAGAAGCGGATGTATCGGTCCTCGTAGCCACTGATGATTACGCCTTCTACGCTGCTTGATCCAGTAGCCCCGTGGACCACTTCTTCTTCTTCGGCCATCGCGCGGTTAGGATCAAGATTAACTGTTCCATCAAAGCCAACAGTCGTAGCGACGACTGAGTTCACCCCAGTAGCTGGCGTGCCATCATACGTCTCGAGACTGGCCATCCCCGCAATTTCTTCGCCGGTCCGCGTGTCGTAGACAATGATAGAGGCATCCGAATAGGAGACGACAAAGTTGACGCCGGCAAGAGACAGGGGGCTAATGCATGTTGGAGAGGGAGAATCGGGACGGTGAATGCGATGAAGAATGGTGTAATGGAAAGCCGGAGGCGGAATGGCACTGGTTTGAGGCAAGGTTGGGTAGTTCGAACCGGAGGGCATTGAGTTAGAGTTCGCCCGCTGACGGCGATTCCCAGTCGGTGGTGAAGGAATTGGAGGAGCGGCGCTGATAGCCCAAATAAAGACATAGCCATCCGCTGCGCCGGAGGCCAGAAGGATTCGATCAGGACCACCATACTGGCCGCTTGAGTCACCAAAGACAGAGCCCATGGTCCCGGGAAGAATGCAGAGTCCCCAGACTGCATCTTTATGCTCGTGGAAGGTGGCCTTAGGGTCAATCCGGTTACGTTCCCATAAGCGCACGCTGGCATCTTGACCACCAGAAAACACCAAGCCATTACCCCCAAGGGTGATGTTCTGAGACGATGAGCAGGCGGCAAGAGAAGTCACAGCGCCTTCATGTCCGCGATGAGTAAATTTGCTCGTAACATCCGAGCCATGGCTAGAACCAGCTCTGAGGCCACCAGAAACACCTGGGATGCTCCATCGCTTGATCGTTCCATCGTCGCTGCAAGTACAAATCTCGGGCTCGTCTAGGCTATCATCACCGGTGAAGGTGACAGATCGAATCACATCCAAGTGGCCACGAAGCGAAAACTGGACTCTAAAGAGGGAATCTTGCTTCGGTGCTAGGGTCGCGCCCGCTTCCCGGGCTTCAATTGCACCTTCGCTCTTGCGCCTTGATCCCGAGTTATTCCTTCCGTGAGAGAGAGGCCCGCCCTTAGTCGATTCGGGGCGTGTAAAGTTGGCATTTGGAAAAGCATCGGTATCCGGGCGATGAGGCGGGATGGGTTCAGTGACCACGAGTTCCTGCTCCGCCGGTTCGTCGAAATTCCACCCATCTACATCCTCTGTTCTTTCCTCGTTCAAGCTTTGCAGGTTCACATCTTCCTTGACAACCACTCGGGGGCCCTGGGCCGTGTATGCCCGGTTTGGACGATCATCCGCTGTGCCCTGTTCGTATGCTTGGGTTCGATTTTCCATTGCTGCGACGGGGGCTTGCTGTTGGTCCATGGACCGTCGATCCATGGAATCCCGAGAAAGATACTGGTTTTGAGCACGAGCCATGGCATTGTCGGAGTAATGGTTAGATATCGGCTGATGGTTTTGCAAGGCCAATTCACGTGCCATAGCATGATTCGCCTTCTGCCGTTGCTGTTGAAGATAAGCCTCCTCCAGGTTCTGTTGCGACAGCTGTGAATTGCCATAAAGCTGGCCGGACATGTCGGAGTCGTTCAAGTCAGGTGGCGGGTGGGAGGCGGGTATAACGTGGTACGCGATTTCATGAGAAGCTTTGGACAGGTATCCTCGGACTTTGTCTATATCCTCAATTTGACCCTCGTGCTGGTTGTCGTTGTCGGGTTCTTCGTCATTCTCATGGTCCGTGCTCGGCTTGGGCCGTTGCGCTGGCGAATAACATAGCTCAGTCAGTATTTCCACGTCGCGTGCTTATAATTACGAGTGACATACCTTTCAGGAAGTTGACACTTTCACGTGCAGCATCTTTGGGATCCTTAGAGTCTTCAGGCTTTTCGTTGTTCGAAAGCTTCTTGACCTTCTCCCTCTCCCTCTTCAGGGCGGTCTCCATCAGGCGAACATGCTTCCCAAGGGACTCATGCAAGCGTTTGCTTGTGCGCAGATCACCTTCCAATCGACCAATGCGAGACTTCATCTCTGCGCGTTCAATCTCCCATGCGTTGCGGTCGCGCTCGTGTCGGTGCCATTCTGTCTGTAGGAAGCGCATTACACCTGGAGACGGTTATCAGTCAATGGCATTCAAGAAATCAAGTAGATTTATGCTCACCCTGTAATGTGTATTCCGTGCCCTGTGGACCATTCGAACCATCCATGCCGCCGGGCATTCCTCCGATCCCAGCCATGGCTGATGGAGATTGCCAGGACATGAACAGACACAGGACAGGTCGAGGTTTGGAAGGGTCAAAGCACTGCGGGAGGTATCAAAAGCAAAATCAGGCCGGTAGTAAATCAAGTGACGTGTAAGGTGCGAGCTTCGGTTTCTCCTGACCCGGTAAATCGTATCCGCAGTAAGCGAACCAAGTCCCCTAATGGCGACGGCAAGGAACCACGTTCCACGCCGAGTCAGCCTGTGAATGAGGTGTCCTGGGGAGGAGGATGGAAAGGAGAGGAGCAAGGTCGGACAATGATAGTAATGTTATGAGGATGAGAGTGTACCTTCACTGATCTTTTGTTATGGTGAAGATGGCTTGCCCTCGGGGGGCTGCTGACCGCCTTCTAGATGGAGAAGATTAGCCTACACATTACCTCCAACCCTGGAGGTACATCATAATCTTGGTAAGCAATTGGATGAATTAGGGAGGGTCTTGTATTAAAGATACACATGAGAGAAGCTTATATGTGATAGAAGATTCAATAGGTTTCATAGGAACAAGCAATCAAAAGCGTAACAACGTGTAAGTATGTATAAGTCTAACTAGTTAGGTGTAACTATATTACATTGTATACATCTCCGACAGTAGAATAGAACAAAATTAAAGTATTGTTCAACAAAGATCTCTCACAAAAGTCCCATTTAAAAATTGTTTTCTACGTACCGAAGAGTAATGTTTAATAGGCTCAAACGCTACATTAGCTCGTGGTCTCGTATGCTAATCAATTATGCTATGGTACATTCTACTCGTCTAGAACTCGAGCTCTTCCACCTCCATCCCACATTCTACACACGTCTTGATACCAATTCCAGTTTCTGGATTCTCAATGGATCGGCCCCATTGATGAACATGCTTCCGCCCAGAATCGAGATCATCGCCAAACTCTCCGCCCGAAGCACCTTGTCGATTACGTCGGTAGGCCTCCACACGTGTGCGTTTCTTTAGCTCCTGTAGCTTCGTTTTAAATTTGGCCTCCCGTCGCCGCTTCTTATCGCTTTCTCGTCGTTCAAATTCGGCATCCAGTGCCTCCGTTGAGCCCCATTTCTTGTCAGAAAACGCATATTCTTCGACTTGGTATCGTAGATACAACATCATGCTGTTCCACGTAGATTTGTGTGGATTCGGACGTTCAAGGCGTGGAAGGAGCTCTTCGTCTCGGAGTTCCGCTGTGCACAGTCTGATTAGCACATCTCTCTTCTTACAGCCGACAGTTAGGTACTCACGATCTGTCAAGAGATAATCTTCCTTGGCTTCCGTCTTGGTCAACAAACTGTATTTCTCTGGATGCTTCTCCTTGCAAGCATGACAGATGCAACACTTCAGTTCTTCCTCCCATTTCCAATCAATCTCGAGACTGCCACATTCACGACATGTCTTCTGCTTGCTTTTATCATCCAGGACACTTAGACCTGGTTCAAAGGGTCCCTCCCGGTTACGCTTTAATGACTGGAGTATTTGATGGCGTTCCCATTCCTTCTGCGTCATGTGTGCTGGCTTTTGTACTTCTTTCTCGTCCGGCACGTGTAGTTGTTTATTGAATGGGTCATCCTCTTGTGTCAAAAATCCACCCTTCGTGTCGGTCATCTTGCTAAAATCATAGTCGACATAGCGTGTGAAGTTTCGGGCTGGCTTGATCGAGTCTAGTGGGCGATTTGAAGAAGATGCGTCGCGCATATTAGCAGGTTGATCAGATGCCGCCATCGAGGTGAACGAGCGCTTGGTGCCTGTTGCGGGCTGGGAGGTATTTGGAACGGCTTGGGATAGTTCGGCTTCACGTTTGTCACGAAGAGCTTTAGCTTTCATGCGGCTAATTTCCTATCACCAAGACTAGTTAATTTTGGCTGATATTGTCGCAACCTTGGAAGGAACTTACCATCCTCCGTTGTTGTTCTGGGGTGATAGGACCGCGGGGAAGCTGTCCTACCCCCGAGCTCTTGGTCTGCGAAGGTGGGGTTGAAGGCCGTTTTGCTGACATTATGAAATTATTCTCTCAATAGTAATGGCCGTTGTTACCAGTTTGAATGATATGAGCAGCGAGGTAGAAGACGGAAGGCGGAAGGCGGCCAGACCGCCGATCTGCCAATCACGTGATATTTGGGTTTATCAAGCGACGTCATTGGTCCCGGGGCATATGCCAGAAGTAAACAAGAACACTGAAACACTAATATCAATATTTCCGAGTTATCAGCCTGAATTGGCAAGAAAATCAATTGAACCGAGAAGCTATGAGTCTGCAGCCGGATAATCAAAATCTTCCTCTCGGTCTTGACCATACAAAACCTCACACACGCCCCCTACCGGCACATCCATGACGGCGTCGGTTCCCTCACTCCAAATTTCTCGCCAATTGACCTTGCGATTTTGGGGGCCCATGATCTGATAGGAGGTGGCACCGGGTTTCATTTTGGTAGCACCACCGGGACGTCTCCGCGCCTTTCCGTCAATCACCGATACATTCGCGACCTCGTCAACAATGTTCTCGATGCTGTGCATGGGCAAGGTAAGGTAGCCTGTATTATATGTGGCAAGCGCAGCATAAATGTAGATCAGTAACATCACCAACCATGCGGGGATCGCCAGCGACCACCAACGGTTGGGATAATAGTAAATGCCTAGCTGATGGAGGAATGGCGATGGGAGATAGGACCATAGGAGATAAAACACTTAGTCTGGTCAGTATGCGGAAGATTACAAGAGACTGTATCGTTAATTTTCCATGAGACTTACAAAAAGCCAATGATGAAGCTAGGTATAACACGAAGCCATAGTATTCATAGGTAGGAACCTTGGGACTGGCGCGCGGAACGGTGGTTGCGCGACGAGCTGACTTGGCGACTGCTGCCTCGGTATCGTTGGGGGTCTCTACATCAGAGCTGTCTGGAGTAGTTGGGCGTGATGTAGTAGTCGAGAAGGGCGGCCGAAGAAGAGAAGTGAGTGATGGCGAGGGCGGTAGAGGGGTGGGTGGACGATTGTAGAACGGAGGTGCAAATGCATTGGGGCCATGGAGAGAGCCGGAGGACTGGCGAAATGGATGATTCCGGTCAATATTAGAGGAATCGTCGGAGTCTGTATCGGAGAATGATTGATGCTCTAGCGAGTAATGCGACTGGAAATCCGCATCGTCCTCCACCTCGATCTCCTCATAGCCGGGGGACGTGATACTCTCGTCTTCATAACTCTCTTGCGGTTCTGACGGGGATATAGGGTCTTCGGCCAACAGTGGAGGGAAGGGCTGCTTGGCCTCTAAGGACGAATTGAACGTCCTTGCTGAGGTTTCCATTCTGCGAAATGAAGGAGAGTTGGTGTTGTTGGTATCTCCCCTTTTTCTGCAACCATCACCAGATTCACCGCCCATCTCCATTTCCACCTCATCTACACTTGGACTTGGACTTTTGAAGATTCATATATGATGATATTTGATGCATTCTTTTATATATGACCATGTCATAAACAGCAACGTATAAGAATGAATTCCGTGAATTACTTTCTTGTTATAGAATTGGACTTTTGGGTATAGCGTCCACGGGTAGGCAACATATGTTATATTTCTCCAATTGACGCAGGTCGATATCCCATGTGAGCATCTCATCCAAGTTACATATAGGGACAAACCAAGACGAAAGCAATACACACACTAGTAAGATATTCTAGCGAGATATGCATCCCCCAACTTCCCCAGTTCCTTTTCGGATCGACTCCGTTGCAAAGGCGGCACATGCCGCTCTCGGCCCCTCCGACTCGGACTTCAACAAAAATATCCAATCCCCCCCCACCTCCTCCACCCTTTCCCCTACATTTTTGAATCTTGTGTTTTTGGGGGGCCATATACCCATTTCCCCAACTCCTTTGCCCGAAGTGACTACCGACTATGAATGTCACCGAATTGGAGCATGTCCGCGGGGTTTGGGAGCGAACCAAAAATGACAGCCCTATCTATCGTCTTCTTCTATCCGATGTTGATATTATTAGCGCAACTCGGGGCCAGATGCAGGCCCGACTTAAGCTCACAGCGGAACATGTCAATTCCCGGGGAACCATTCATGGGGCTGTCTCTGCAGCTATCATCGATTGGGCAGGGGGCATGTCGATAGCCACACATGGATACGAGAGAACAGGTGCAAGCATTGACATCCACGTTTCATATTTATCAACTGCTACCGTTGGAGATACCCTCGATATCTCTGCCGTGGCCGATCGGGTGGGGAAGTCAATGGCCTTCACGACTGTCAAAATTTCCCGAGTTGTCGACGATGCAGTGGGCCCCTTGGTTTCGAAGGGTTCACACACAAAGTTCCTGCCTGTCTCCAAAGAAAATCGTGAAATTAGGAGCTGAAACTGTATTTCAACGATGTTGCATATAGACATGAATACTGTTCCGATTTCTTCAAATATCTCCGCGCAGTTCTACTAGTTATGCCCTCCCCGTCGAAGATGTTATGCCACCATCCACAACGAGTTCCTGGCCAGTGATATACCGCGCCTCATCACTAACTAGGAAAAGCGTAGCATTGGCAACATCCCACGCATCGCCCATTTTCCCCATCGGGACTTGCGCGTCGCGCATCTCCATGTATCTTTCCGCTTGGCCACCTGCATATCTGGATACCATACATTTTGTGTAGGGGGTGTCCATGAGCCCAGGAACAACTGTGTTCAAACGTACACCTTTGGGTGCGTAGATGACAGCCGTTGTTTTCATCAACTGAATGATGGCAGCCTTCGTCGCGGAGTATGCAACTTGAGGCTTTCCGATGTATCTCAAGCCGGCGATGCTGGCAACGCTCACCACTGCACCACCACCTTGCTGCTCCATTATCGGTAGCACATGTTGACACATCAAAAACACGCTCTTGAGATTGAGGTCCACCTGGGAATCCCAGACTTCCTCCAGCATTGTAGCGGGACAACCCGGCTCTGACCTCCCGACGTTGTTTATGAGGATGTCAATCCGTCCATGTTTAGCCATACAGGCTTCCACGAGAGCTTTCGTTGATGTAGCTGATGTCACGTCTGTTTCCACAACATGGCAAGTTCCACCCTCAGTCTCAATGGCCTCTTTGGTGGAAAGAGTCGAAGCTAGTGTGCGATTGCCACCGAAGATCTTCGCACCTTGTCGCGCTAGGAGAACAGCGATGGCAGCACCAATTCCCCAGCCCTCGGATTGACTTTGACCGAGGCCCGTGATGAGGGCGACTTTCCCGTGGAGAGACAACATGAGGCAGAGTCGATATGTAAACAAAATGGAAGATAGAAGAAGATTTGGGTTGATGAGTGACAATACATAGATGTAGGCACCTGTTTCACATATATATATATATATATATAAGAAATGTTCTGGCCAGATATCGAGGCCACTATATGTACATATGTATATAAAGTAACAACGGGATTATCCCGACGGGGTTCCCGCCCCCAGCGGCACACTCCCGATACCCAACCCCATAGGCCCTCCAGGGTTGATATATGCACTATTACCTATCTTTGCCGAAGAAATTAGTTGAGATTTCTGTTTCAAGATTATTCAGAGTGAACAGCGTACTTAAGTCATGTGCTTTAACGAGTTGCAAACCCAGGGTATAGTGTAACGTTTCGAAGGTTGGACATACACATGGATATATTAGATCAAGCAAGGGCCTTAGACAAAGATTTGGAAAGACCGAGAACGTCAAGAGAGGTTACACATGCCAAGGTCTGCACGTCCAGTTTGTATACAGTCGAGGGTACTCGAAGGTATTCTGTACAACATATGTTGTACTCCCTACACCCTGCATATGTAGGTGGTACAACGCATGCTACCTTTCTCAAGTCTTATAATCTACCATCTATGATCCAGAAGCCCGTGTCCCATATGAGATACATCAGATATGAACAGTTCCACGTGAGAACTACCGGTTTATCTGCATGTATGACAGTTCATAGGGCTCCAAGCTCAACATTATTATTAGAAAGTAGAACATTCATGTGCTGTAACCCCAAGGCTCCCGCCTCCACCGCTATATGACCTCCTTGCATTGTTGCAAATTATAGAGGGGAAAAGAGCCGAGGTATTGATAAGGTTCTGTCCTGTTCTGTCTTGTTCAGCCTTGAAAGTGTACAATGATCCTTGTACTCCGTACTCCGTACCATATTCATGCGACAAGATCATTATAGAGGGATACTGAGCACACCACATCATATTCTAATTTATCAAAATTCTTACATTACAAGATATATGAGATATATATGAGATCCAAGATATTCAGGGGGTGTAATTTCTCAGCGGAGATCGGCCAAATCTATTTTTTTGATTGGACCCGCACCATCTGGGCCTATGGCACTTCTTCTCTTCACCTCTTTTCTTCTATTTTTCTATTTTTCTATTTTTTTTTTTTTTGGATCTGCAATTGTGTGTACAAAAGTACTGGCTATAGTTTCCATTCTGCAATGCCTGCAATATCTACAATCCCTACAATCCATACAATCCCCACCAGATTGGCGTACACTCGTAGGTTCGTACATTCGTACATATCGCCAAGGCCCAACAAAAGACCCACAAACTATCGGATCGACAAAACCCTAGGCCTTTGAATTAATTTCCAGAGCCTATCAGCTCTTACATGCACGAATTTGTCTAATCTCCAGTGTGAATGACAAGTCGCAAAGGACCAAAAAGCATTGCTTTTTCTTTGCTTCTTCTCCCCGCCAAATTACTCCATATAGCCACCCCCTCCCTGTCATTTCTGTCATTTCCTTGGCTTTTGGTATATCTTGTTTTTTGTGTTTTTTTTTCTTTCTTTCTTCTTCTTCTAGGATTTGGAGAGTATACTCACCATGTCGAGTATAACGGTATAATTACCCTCAAATCATAGAGAAACATTCTTGCTAATACGATACAGGATAATGACACAAATATTGGATCGTCGCGAGGTGACGCGTCGACCACCTCTGGTGATATTGCCAGTAGTCTCACCGGCGGAGGGGGTTCATCAGGCTCGGCGCTGATGATGACTCTATTACCTGCACTCGTATACGCTTTATTTTGGATCAGTCTCTTTCTGATATTTCGGCGAACTCAGCGCCGATGGTACGCTCCGAGATCCTACTTGCCCGATATACATGAACATCAACGGAGCCCCGAGTTGCCTTCTGGCTGGGTGAACTGGCTCGGGACATTTTTAAAAATTGAAGATAATCATGTACTCCACCATTCATCGCTAGACGGTTATCTTTTCCTGCGGTTTTTGCGCGTCTTGGCTGCGACATGCCTGACAGGCTGTGTGATTACATGGCCCATTCTGCTGCCTCTTCATGCCACCGGGGGCAATGGAAATACCGAGCTCGATATCTTGAGTTTCAGTAATGTCAAGAACCCCGACAGATACTATGCCAATGTGATAGTGGCATGTGTTTACTTCAGTGAGTTTCTCGCCATTTCACTTGCAAAACCAGCTTACTCACCAGTATAGCGTTCGTGTTTTATGTCGTGGTCAGAGAAAGCCTGTATTATGCAAACCTCCGACAGGCCTACCTCAACTCGCCTGCCTACGCATCTCGAATGTCGTCCCGTACACTCCTCTTCATGTCAGTCCCGGACGCTTACAAAAACGAGAACAAACTACGACAAGTATTTGGAGAGTCGATCCGCCGTACCTGGATTACCTCGGACTGCTCAAAGTTGGAAAAGATGGTTAATCGACGAGATCGACTAGCCGAGAAGTTGGAAACCGCAGAGACCAAGCTCATTCGACGAGCAAATAAAATCCGCACTGAAGCAATCAAAACAGGCGAATTGAATGTCGATATGTGCTTGGACTGTGAGTCAAGCAACCCAGCATGGTCTCACAAAGTCAAACGTCCCACGCATCGACTGAAACTTTTTGGCGAAAAGGTCGACTCTATCCACTGGTATCGGGCTGAGCTCGCAAAGAAAACTGAAGAAGTATCAAATCTGCAAGCCAAACACCAAAATGGTGAAGTGAAACAGCTCAGTGCAATCTTTGTCGAATTCAACAGCCAGGCCGATGCACAAGTCGCCCTGCAAACCCTGTCGCATCACCAACCGTTTCATATGACGCCCCGCTTTATTGGAGTCTCACCTCGCGAGGTTGTATGGTCGGCATTGAATCTTAGCTGGTGGCAAAGAATTGTCAGGAGATTTGCAATCCAGGGATTCTTGGCGGCCATGGTCATCTTTTGGTCCTTCCCTGCGGCAATTGTTGGTGCAATTTCAAACATCACATATATCTGCACGCTGATTCCCTTCCTTGGTTTCATTCTTGAATTGCCCGATGTTATAAAAGG